CTGTGCTGGAAAAGGAGAAGACCTATTTTTGTATTTGATACTAGTAGGCGTTTTCAATTTTAAAGTGTATGAAGGAACTTGGAACACAGGCCAGGCTTCTTTAAATGGAACATGTTGGCAGTTGGCTACCTTATAAATTAAAAGAGGATGAATCAGTGCTGTTAACAAAAAAGCACGTAAGACCATTCTGAAACACTCATTCATAGGTCATTTTTCCCTAACTCAGTATAGTATATTAACCACTTTGTTTATAGATCTTCACTCAGTTTCCTATGTTCGAGCAAACTAAAATTAAATATTTTCCTTTGTAAATAAATCCAGACACAATTAGATTGTATTTCCTTATCATTTAATTTCACAATTCAGATCAAAATTGATAATCAAATTTCCATTTTCATAAAACATCTTATTTTCACTTACCTTTTAGATAGTAATCTTTTCTTCTATGATGATTTCCACATCAGGGACAGAGGGACAGAAGTTAAAGTTGCAAAAATAACAAAATGGTTTGATAGAAGCTTTGAGCAGAATATATGTGGTTCTAGTTTTCTGAAACACTTGTGGCAAATCACCCATTACATTAGTCAGGAAGCATCCTTTTTTCCCCTGATGTCAGTGKGTCAGTGAGTAAGCTTCCTGACTGATATTAAGGGTCACATCATGTGAATCATATTTGCTGATTCATTTGTGCCTCTTGTTGACCTGCCTTCTTTCTGGTGCTGTTTAATTACATACCAATAGGGATTAGTACGTTTGTAGGTGTGCATATTCACACTCGTATGTTCTATTTTCCTGTGCTGGGAACTTTGGARCAGCACATTTTCTAGGCTTTCCCACCTCATAGCACAGAAACTCACTTACTTTCCCCACTACTAAACATCTCCCTCCCCTAAACATCCAGAAGATAGATCTGTTCACCTGAGGMAGATCAGTCTGGAGCAAAATGACATTTAAATGGAGGAAACAGGAGATCATTTTTGTCCTAGTTGTAGATCTAGGATAATACATTTAAGAAGATTCTTTCATGGCTGTATTTTAGGACCAGCATGGCAATATCTGATTTTGCAGGTGGTCCCTGACTACAGTTGGGTTCCCTTGTTCTTACCAATCAATTTCAAAGGAATGGGTTTTTTTTCTCAGTCTATCTTTATGTAAGCCATGGTTTGTGAAGTCTCACTGCTTGTTAAGTTGGACAGATTCTTTTCTTTTCCTTTTTCCAAATCTCTAGAGGGTTTACATTGTTAACAGTTAAAAAAAAAAAAAAACCCTGTAGTGACTCATAAGACTATTTGGGAAATTTGAAGACGTATAAATTATTCCAGTGTCATTAGTTTATGTTATAGTTCAATAGGGAACATAGGTGAAATTTGGACTGTTTTAGCCTCAAAGGGCAGATGTGAAAGGATTAAGAAAATTTTGTTTTAATATAGTGGCATGTGAGAAACAGCAGTCCAAACTGTGTCTCCTTTTTGCACTGTCCAGGGAAATAAACTTGGATATTTTTCCCTCCCACACATGTTAATGAGATGAACATGTGCTCAGTAGCAATGGAATTACTTTTTTTCCCATCTTCTTCCCCCTGCCCCTACAGGATTGCCATGAGAAGATTCGGGTTCTCTCTCAGCAAGCAGCAGCTGTTGTGAAACAGGAAGGGGGTGATAATGATTTCATAGCCCGTGTCCGTGCTGATTCTTACTTCAGCCCTATCCATAAACAACTTGAAAGCCTGTTGGATCCCTCCTCCTTCACTGGACGTGCTCCTCAACAGGTAAAGTAGTGGGAAGAAGCTATGGGTTGTAATGCCATGTGTAGTTTAATCCCGCATCCTTTTGTGTGCTATRGAGTGTACATGTTATATAACTGTGGCCATACTGCTAAGGAAGACACATTTCACTCTTTTGATTTCCTTGGCTTTCTTCCCTGTGTCTTCACACTTTTGACCCTGGACATACCAGACCATTTGGTGTCTTTGTGAAAGAGAGACCCCAGTGAGACAAGCAGGTCTGAGTGGGGAGGAGGAGGCAAGCCCTTTTCCTAATTTTATCTTTCTCATCTTGAACAGGTGGCAAAGTTCCTGAAGGAGGAGGTTCGACCAGCGCTGATTCCATACCAAAGCAAGATGGGTGGGAAAATTGAACTGGCACTTTAGGTTTAGTCTGCAAAAGTGTGTGGATACAGGAAGATAATAAAGCCTTATTGACCCAGGTCTATTTATTGTCATGTTGTTTTGGTTCTCTACAGTACATTTAACCCCCAGACCTTACAGCCACCCTGATTCCAGATGGGCTTTTCATTCTTTGTCTACTGTTTGGTCAAGCCTGCATCTATAGTGTCCGGAGTTACTGAGTAASTCAGCTCAATTGTGACAAGGTAACTTTATCACAGCACTTTTCATTGGCCCATACAGAGCACTGCCCACTGTTAAAGAGCAATGCCAGGTGCTGCCCGACATTCATGTAAGACTAACTGTTGAAGAACAAAGGTAAGGGGAATTGAGCCCACTCCCATTTTCATATTTCTTTCCATGCCCTGAAGCTTACTCCACAGGTGTCTCAGAAGTTGATAAAAGTTTGTCCGGGCTTTCARATTTGAGGGAGCAAACTGTGATTTTGGGAGCAAGCAGAATAAAATACTAGAAATAATGAAAAAGAGAGGTCATGACAAATTTCTTGGCCCATCAAACTGGTGCTCCTTCCTAGTTTAATATTGTAGCTGTGGCTCTGTAGCTTCTGAGAATCCATATTTACAGGTATGGGTAAGAAACCAGTCATTGTGTTTTGGCTGAGATTGTGGTTGCTGGCTGTAAGTGCTTGATATTGAGTGGCAGGTGGACTCTGGCATGTCAGAGTTGTTCTCTACTACAAGTAAGTTTTGTCTGATAMGGAAAGGAAAAAGATACTGGAATTCATTGAATGCCAGAAAAATTCAAGAGGCATCGGTTTTATTTCTGCCATGAATCATCTGTTTTGTAACGTGTGTGTTTTACTGGACATTCAGTACAAAGGAAGGAACTCTTCTTCCTTTGACTTCAACTGGAATAATCCCCTTATCTCTTTTCCCAGTGTTATTATATCATAGAGCATTTCTTCTGCTTCAGTGCAACAAAAAATCTCCCTCTTGCYTCTGTTATTTATTCAGACCCTCAGAGATGATATGATAAGGATTACTTGATGGTTTTTGAAGCATGGCTGCTGAAGAGAATTAAGAAAAGCAGAACTAATTGAAAGAAGCTACCTGATGTCCTTGAGGCCATCATTATTGAAAGAGGATTTCAAAATGCTTGTCTTACGTAGTCAGAGCAATGGGAAGTTTCAGGCTGTGATCTTCCCCCCATTGAGATTGTTCTGGCTAAATCTTGCCCCTAGATAATGGCATTCAAAATTTCTCAAACATTTGTGAGTTTTATGGTGTTTAAAACATTTTGCTTGCTTGTGCTATTAACATTTAATTAGCCATCTGTTTGAAAAGGATAACTCTAATTGAGCACTGGTAATTTTCAGGCTATTACTCAGACGGATAGCCAAGAAAGAAAACAGACAGATGCGTTAAGTCCTCGTTCTTTGGTCCTCTTTCTTCCTTAAAAAAAACCAACCCTGTGCAGAGAGGAAGAACAGCTAATGTATCTTCTCTCCTCATCTGGAAATAAGTCTGTATTAGATAGAGGCTGCCAGCTGTGAGCTGTTTGTCTTGTTTTCCTGGAAATTTCCTCTGTACCRTTGTTACCCTTTTCAAAATGTCATCCCCCTAGAAAACTAGCATGACTATAYAAATCCTTAAGGAGACTTGTACTCCTTGTTTTGGGATCTGACTTCCTACTTTTCCACAGAGTTGGCAGTGGCACCAGAGATGTAATTCTCCCCTCTCCTTGGTTGTTGGGAGGAGGTCACCAGGCAGTGCTTCAGGAGCAGCTCTCAGCTGTACAGCTCCTAATTCTCCCCCTGTGCTTGGCACTGGTGAGGCCACACCAAGTCATGTGTCCAGTTCTGGGCCCTTCAGAACATTGAGGGGCTGTAGTGAGTCCAGAGAAAGGCAGTGGAGCTGGTGAATGGTCTGGAGCACACGTCTGATGGGGAGAAGCTGAGGGACCTGGGGTTTAGCCAGGGGAGCAGAATGCTTAGGGGAGACCTTGTCACTTGCTACAACTGCCTGGAAATAGGTTGTAGCCGGGGGGGTGTGAGAGGGGTTGGCCTCTTGTCCCAGGCAACCAGCAACAGGACAAGAAGACATAGCCTTAAGTTACACAAGAGGAGGTTTAAGTTAGACATTAGGAGGAATTTCACAGAAATGGTGATTAGACATAGGGATAGCCTGCCCAGGGAGGTGATGGAGTCACCGTCCCTGGAGGTGTTTAAGGAAAGAGTGGATGTGGCACTCAGTGCCATGGTCTGGTTGACAAGGTGGTGTTCGGTCACAGGCTGGACTCCATGATCTCAGAGGGCTTTTCCACCCTGATTGATTCTGTGATTTTGTGACAGCTTGGATCACACTTCGGGTTGTTCTGGCGCATGTCTCTGCCGTCTGTGCCTGTGGTGAGCAGGGCCATCCTGGCGCCTCTCCCCGCCGGCCGGGCCGCGCTTCCCGGCCTACAGCCACCGCCGCGCCGCGCGCCGCATCCTGCGCATGCGCCTCGGCAGCGGCGTGTGGGGCCGCCGGGTCGGGGCCGGGCGCCCGCCCTGAGGGGACGGCGGTGGCGGCAGCAGGTGGGTGCCGGGGCAGGTGGGGGTCGCGCCGGGCGGGGGCCGCCTCTCGCTCTCCGGGGCTCCCAGGCCTGCGTGTTCCCACGGGCCGGGAGGGCTCCCCAGGAGGGGTTGCGCCACCTGTGCGGTGTCCCCCGCGCACCCCTCACCCCGGCACCACCCTGCCTTGCTCTCTCTCGGGCGGAGCGGAGGCCGGGGCGGCCTCGCTGCTGGGGCTGTGCGGGACGGGACCGCGTGGCCGCGGCTCCGCTCGCCGAGCTGGGGCGGGGGAGCAGGGAGGGACCCCCGGCCCGGGCAAGGCTCCGTGCTCCGGCCGCGGTTACGCAGGGTCTGGCTCCGGAGAGTGACCCACGCTGCGCTTCTCCATGACGGCTGCCTGGGGCACGTTCTTCCTGCTCCTCCCTTACCCTCGCTGGGTTCTCCCCGGCTCCCCGGGACGTGCCTCTACCCCGCCTCTCCTTCCTGCTCGTGGCTGCGACTCCCGGGGGTCCTGCTCTGCCATACTCATTTGCTCTCCACGCCTGCGCCTTTTCGGAGGTGCCCCGGAGGAGAGAGAKAGTCTGTCTCCTGTCTGGCTGGGGGGAAGGAATAGTCACGAAACAGAGGTGGAAATATGGCAGTATCCTTTAGGCAATGGGCAGAGATAGACATACTGCAGGCCCTGTGATTGTCAGCTGTAATAAATGTTAGAAGGAGAGCAGAAGACAGATGTAATTCTTCGTACCTGGTGATGTATATCCGAGGGATCAAAGAGCCGCAGTCACGCAGATTTAAATCTTGTTGCAGGCAGTGGCTGTGGGCTCCGGGACGGCTCTTGATGTCTCTTTACAGAACTGGTAAGGATGGGACAGAAGAAATTTCCTCTGTATGCCTGCTTTGCYTCCTTTCTAAATTTGTGAGGGATGCCTGAATTTAAGCAGGTGCTTTCCTTCTAAACAAGTCAGTTTCAGTGTTGGTGGGGAGGGGTGTTTATGTGATGTCGTAGCTTCCTTCACGATGCCTCAGCCCTGCTCCSCACGGCTTGCTGTGATTTTTTGGKTTTTTTTWTAGTGGGGGAAGTGGGACTAAAGTAGTGATAGTGCCATGAGGAAATGGAGGATCCTTTAGTGCAAATAGATGGGAGAGAGAAGCGGTCGTACTGGAATCAAGATGAGTGGGTTTTTATTAGTGCAAGACTGTATCTTAAAATTACCCAAGAAGGAACTSGCAGCCTGGCAGGAGTGGGGCACTGCTGTGCTTTTGCTGAGCTGATGATCGGAATATAATTGCTTGCTGGATAATCTGAATTCTGGAATAGTTTTTCAGCTGCTACAGAGTCTGGAGTGGTGGCCTGGAAAGAAACAGGCACTGGGACAAACTTCAATTTCATAATTTATTTCTGCATCAACACAATGTGTGTGTAACTGTCCCTGTGCAGAAACAAAGGTTGGATTCCTACTCTGGAGAATTCATAAAGTAAAGGGGAAGGAACAGGGTGAGAAGAGGTGTGGCATATAGTTAAAAAGGTCAGGGTGGGGACTGGTTGTATCATGTTAATACAAAGTTACGTTCATTCTGTATTTAACTGATTAAAATGACAAGTACTGCCTGTCTTAATTCCTGTTTATGATAATATTTTGATAATGTGGTTTGATATTCTCAGGGAGATATCATTTATAGTGACTCCTCTTCTGAGGAAGGATGAGGGGAATCCATGAGGAGCARCAGAGAGGAAGGGCATATTTCTGGAGGAATTGCACTGGTCAGGGAAGGATAGAGTTGAGGTGAGGAAAGCACTGCACACCTGCTCAAGACTGAAATAACTCTTCAGTTTTAGGGGGTCTGCTAATGTTGTTTAGGTTTTTCTTTGCTGTGCTTTTAACCTGTCACTTTCCCACAAGATGGGACCTTTTGCCAATGACAGTGTTCTAATAGACCTTAACAATCTTAAAAGACAGGCAATAATCAAAATTATTAACTTTTAAAAATCAATATTTTTTTAYCTAAGGTGGCATGGTAACAGTAGAGATTATTGTTTAAGAGGTCTGTGTGAAAGCTGTCRGTCTTAGACCCATTCTTGGTGAATTGATTTGTCTGTTGCAAAATTGTTTCCCATGTTTGGTGTTTGRGATGTTTTAACAAAGGAATTGATGATACCACATTTGAGGTAGTAACTGTTTTGGAAATGGTTGGAATGATGTCTCTTCCTGGCTGCTAATTTCAAACTTCTCACCAGCACATCAGAAGTAAAGAAAACTTAAAAAAAAAAATCCTAAGGAGTATTGCAACTTTTATCTGCAATGGTAAAGTTAAGGTGCTTTATATTTTGGTGTATGTGGTCTTACAGCTCTTCTAGCTAAATCAGCAATGACCTTGCTAGTGCTCTCTATCACACTGTTTATTCTAGATCCTACCCTAATACAAATGGATGAGATACAGAGACTTTGCAGCTGTCCAGTAGGAGGAGGTAAACAAATAGCTTCATTCAGTGTTCTGAGTGCAGTGACTAAAGTGTCCCTCAAGAGATGGAGAAGTGTTGGCACTTCACATCTGTGTCCTCAGCCACACAAAGACTTGCCTAAACTTCTTTCTCTGCYACTTTTTATCAGGGTCAAGGTTTTGTATACATAAAGCTTACACAGGGTGAGTATCTGGGAGTGCTGGGGAAAATCTCACTTGTCAGCTGTGTTACTGTTGACACCAGGTAGGGAAGAGAAGGATGTTGTCTTGCCACGTTTGTTTTGTCTTTGAGGAAGTCTCATATTTCTTTAAACTAGAGTGCAACAAGTTATAATGGTAACAGAGTGARTTTGTTTCTGACTTAAGAAAAACACTGTGGGAGAAATGCAGACACGTTTGTTTTATGAGGCAGATGAATAGTAGAGAGTATATTTGTATTAGGATGACTACCAGAACTGCCCAGTCAGTATTGGCTGGGAAGTATTTGATGATTCAGAGTTGAAAGAAGAAGTCTATAACCTTTTTTTYTGTAGAAGAAATCTTCCTGATCCCCAGAATCAGGAAATGTTAGAGGTTTTGTCTTGTTTTGTTACAAATGCTAGCAATCGTTGTATATTTTGCTTTTTTTTTCTCCTCATAAGTTATCTGTGCATATAAATTCCTGCAGGAGCAAGATCTAAGTAGCCTGACATGACATGCTAGATAAGAGCTTTGCAAACAGTCCTGAGAGGTGTTTTGAGTGTTACTGACCTCTTCAGAAAGTTGAGTTCTGTAAAGATAGAGCCCTGAAGGAGAAAAGTAGTGAATGCTGTGGGATATACTTGGCTTAAAAGCCATTTTCTGGAGCCAAATGAAACGCAACCTGCTTAGAGTCCTGTGAAGTGAATCCGACCTTTTTTATGAATACTGGAGCAAATAGTAACAAAACAGAGCTACAGGACGGTGACCTGAAATGAGCCTTTCCTGTGTCTCACCAAGATAACAGCAAACCATGACAGTTAAACCTCTGCAAATCCTCTGAGACTGTATCAAAGAAGAGCCATTCTTCAGCCCTTGTTTCATTGTCACTGGGAGCAGTAGGATGAGTCCAGCTTGAGAATCAAACTATCACGTGGGTGAGCCTACAGGACTGATGATGAAGAGAGCCTTGGATGGCACTGCTTGTCACCACTCAGGACAGGAGTGTGATATAAAAGACTTCATAATACCTGACTTCAAGTAACAGTCGATAGTGTCTTTCAGCTGTTCTTTGACTGGTACAGCCATGCGTCAGTAGCAGAAATATTTTCTTTCAAACTTCTGTATTCAAATGAAACTGGACAGTTGTGATTGCTTCCCACAGACATCTCRTAAATAGTTTGCAGTCTTGCAGTGAACCAGAAGGTAAAAAACACTTCTGAAAAGTTTTTGGGAAAACAAATTTCTGTAGAGTTCTGCACACTGCCCATGTCCTACACTGTGCTTATTTGTTTGGAAGGACCCATTTATTGTGCAGTACTTGACTCTCATGGAAGATATATTTGGGTCCGCCTTCAACACTAATCAGAAACCTTTGGTTTGTATTTGCATAGTGGTGTTTAACATAGAATTGCCTTTACTCTAAGCTTGAAGACTAGCGTGATTGCAGACCTGGCTTTTTTGGCACATGCAGGTTTTCTTGCCTCTGTGTTGGCAGTAAGTATTTTGCTGTGCAGTGAGAGTGAACACTATGCTAGTTTGTTTCCTCCTAGTTTGTATCCTAGCCCTTTTTTTCTAATCTCATTTGATTCAGATAGAAAACCCCAAAAACGGTTGTTCCGATAYTCAATTGTAATCCTCCTGTGTGAGTTGCAAGGAGCACACTATATTCATATCATGTATCTTTTCATCACTCAAATAATGGGAGTACCAGTAAGGAGAAATTCCTCCTCTGATTCCAAGGTTTTTGGCTAACAATATGTGCAGTTCATGCTTAACTGGTGTGCTGTTTGCTTTGGAGCCAGGTAAACAAAAGGCAGTTCTGGAAATAAAATATCTGTTGATATGTATGATATCTGCATTCTATAGAAGTAGGTGCTATGAAGGGATTTTTTTGAGACAAGCTTGACAAATTGAATTATGATCAGGAAGTCCATGTGTGGTCTGTCTGTCCAATGGTAGGAAGCAGGATTCTGCTTTTTCATATGCCTATTTTCAAAATGGAGATGCAGTAGAAACAAAACTGAAAGTTACTTGTTTTGTTTCTTTTGTATAAACTGACAGTGTTTCAGCAGCTTCAGCACCACTGGGGCTCTCTGTGTCATTGCAGCAARCATTGTTGGATACGGAGCAATGCAAGGAGCAAAACGGTTGCATGGAAGTACCTTTAAGTTACACTTCCACATGGAATTACATTTCCAGTGAGGCCAGGAATCTGCAAGGTGCTTTATGGCAGGAGACACAGAGTTCCAGTTTACTTTTTGCTGTCTGTTGCTCTAATAGTGGCCTGAGGCAGTGGGAGGAAACACTTTGCCCTGCCACATTCCTGCTGAATGTGATCCTGATTGGTGACTGGGCAGCACTGGAGTCCTGGGTGGTGCCTCTGCAGTCAGAGGCATAACCTGTCAGCAGTTTGCCCTCCCATCTGCCAGCCCACCTGGCTCTGCAAGCCTCCCCTTCACTGCTCTCTAGGTCTTGCATCCCCCTTTTTCACCCCTGCCCTAGGCTTTTGGTGTATCTCTCGTTCACTTCCAGTGCTATTAGGAAGTGGGCTGAGGCCAGTTAAAGTTCCCAGCTCTTCATTCCTACTCACGTTGTAGAGAGGGAGCATAAAGGCTGCCTCAGCACCTCTGGCCTGCATTTGTAGTGTTTTGCTCAACACTCAAAGCAGTGGTCATGGTTTGTAAGCCCTGGACAGAAAGTTTGGGATGACCCAGGTTCACCAACACCAGATTGACTCCTTAAGCAGGGGCTGGGGTGTGTCAATGTCTGTGGAGATTCCACATTTTTTACAAAGTCAGTGTGTTATGGTGCGAGTGACAGGAATTCTCTGCATCTTGTCCACCCCTTGGTCAGGTGCATTGCTGTGCTTTGCTCACTTAGGTACTCGTTTGTGAAGCTGGAGTTTTMTTCTGACTTTCKGTGCAAATCAAATATTGACTTGTGGACTAATGGCATTTGCAGCTCCAGGATATGCCTTTGCCTGACCTGAGGGAGACACTGGGGAAGGGAAGGGAAGGCCRAGGACTTCCTGTTGAGTTTCCCTTGGACATTTCATTGAGCAAATCAGGGTTATAATTTGGAAAACACRAGTTTTCTGGTTGTGAAAGGATGAAATTGAACTGCCTGGTTCAGTGCAGAGCTTTTGTCTGATTTCTGAGGGAAATGTTAAATTAGATGCATTCTACTTGGGATTTCAAAAGCTGAGCTGGAAAAGGCTTCTAGAACGACACATAAGTACATAGCCTCCTAATGGGTACTGTGACTTTCACTCACTTTTGTCTATTCCAAAACTTTTTTTTCTTAATAAAGGAAGATAATAGAGAGCAGTGGAAACCAACTGACAGTCCAGAGGTGACATTGGGATTTACTGCATGCATTGTTGCTTTCTGTTCTTTCAACATAAAAGAAAACAGAGTTTCTCCCTTGCWGGCTTACTGTCAGAGGAGGTGTTGTAGCTATCAGAACACAGGTGCTGTTCTTGTAATGGTGGATGAAAATTATTCTGGAAAGGATTGTTATGCTTGTTCTGGACCTTGACGATACTCATTGGAGGCTTCTGCATACTTACTGGGTGTAAAGTTTTCAGGATACAAAACATTACTTTGTAAAATGTCTTCTGCTCAGTCTGTCTGCTAGAGGTATATTACCCTTTTGGTGGATTCTCTTTTTGTTGTTGCTAAAATCAGTTGGGGAAGAACACTCCTGGGAAGGAGTTTCTGTCCCAAAAGAAAGATCCTACTGAAAGGCTCCAGACAACATAGCTTTGTGCTTAGCACATCTGGGCACTACTACCAGCTTTAGGTGGAGATCACGTGGCAAAAGAGGCCAAGCAGGTAAAACACAGGCAGCAGGAGTTTGCTGTCTGGTGTTTGCCAGGAACCAGGCAGTTGAAATCTCTCATACCACAGCTGTGGGGAAGAGCCAGAGTGTCCAGAGGAGGTACGATATTGCCAAGTAGAAGTAAATTTGCAGGAGTCCTTTGCAAACATTGATTCCTAGAGGACACCTGCACAGGAAAAAAACTAATTGGACATAATCCTGCATGGTGTGTGTTTTTGCAACTCCARCAAAGATGTTGCAGGTGGAGTTCTTCAAATGGCTGTACCTGATGCTGACTGTGTGCTTCCCTTGCAGTCTTCTTTTTCAGGTACATTATACCTGTCTTCTAGCAAACTGGAATCGATGGTGGTGTGATTTGTTTTGAACTCTGAATTCAAAAAGTAAATCTGTGAAAAAGAGGTATCATTTGGATTTTAGCAAGAAGTACATTTCTTTCAAAATGCGAAGACTACCTGTTATATAAAAATTACTTCATATAAGAAACTTAAATTGCCTTTGAACATGGGAGATGTTCCTTAATGTGTGGGTGAGAATTGATTTTAATTTTGAAGTACTGAGGGTTTGGGAGTTGCCATTAAGATTTGTTGGATCTGATGTGGTTTTTCCTTTGTATTTCTTACTGTTGCTTGTTTTCAGGAATGTGTACATTGCAAATAACACAGCAATTTCACACGTGGTTTCACAGGTTTCATGGACCCCCTTTTGCTACTTGCTGTCTCCTGGCTAGGAGAGTTTGAGAGTTGGTCTAGGYTTATATCTCTCAGTCAAAGGAAAGAACTTACTATGTCAATCCCAAATACCAGATATCCTCCTCCTCCTCCTGGCTCACACTGTATGGTGCTTGGCTGTGTCAGGAAATCTTCCCAGTTCCTTGCAGTGATGCTGGAAGGGCTGGTGCAGTGGTCTCAGCGTGTTCTCTTGGAGACACCTGGCTCCGTGGGCGCTACCCAGCGCACTGCCCCTATGCCACAGCAGGAGCCTTTTCTTGGTGAGATTTCTGCTTCTCACCCTGCCCTTCTGTGCAACCACACCAGCAGCAAGGTGAGCTTCATGCTCTCTCTGGGCTCTGTCCCAGATGGGTGCTTGCAGGAAGGTTTCTATGGGAACCAGGGGCAGGAAAAACCTGCCCACCAAGTTCAGCCYTCTAATGTCATGGACAGGAGAGCCGGCTCAGGCAGGGTAGTGATCCCCAGCAAGAGCGGAGGCCAGTGTGTGATGACGTGGACAAGGGAAGGTGTTCCACCTGCTATGCCTGTCTTGGGACAAGGAGGGACTAAGCACTGTCCTGCCCTGTTTCCAAGGGGTGGGGTTAATTCCTCTATTATGGGATTTTTTTCTCAGCCCCATGCCCAACACCCTGACCTGGTTCCTCCATAGCAGGTTGGGTCAGCAGTAGTTTTGTATGCAATGAAGATTAATAGTGGCTGAGGCACAAGCTTGAGGCATTGAGGATTGATCTGGAGCACAGGCAATGAGAAGCATGGCAGATGTACCACGTGGTGACTGCATTCCTAATAAAAGTCATTGGAAACAGTGTTAACTAGGCTGAGAGAAGGCAAGGGAGAAGGACACCTTGCGGCTCCAGAACTGAGCAGCTGTGGTTGCAAGGCAGTAGAGAAAGTATCAAAATACATTCACATCARTGTTGAAAGGCAAGTAAGTATTGTCAGCCAGTTTATCTTCTTGAGGTGTGTGCTCTGTGTGTTCACATGTAATCTGAGCATGCAGATGCTCATTTTATAATTGTTGTTATGTCTTCAGCTACTAAGAGAAGAATTGGTGCTAAATGAACAAATGGGACTAGAGTGATGGGAAGAACAGACAAACGTTTACAGAACTGGGGGATGTGCAGCTGACCATCCTGTGAACAACATTACTTCTCAGAAACAAAAGATCGATTTMTTTCTTTCTTTCTTTCTTTGTTATTATTTTTGCCCTAAGAGCTAGTGTCAGAATGGATCAGAGTATCTTCATCCATGCTGGCCTATCAGGCAGAGAACTGTCAAAATCTGTGAGAAGGACACCTTATCATTTGTGTTCCCAGACACAGATGTTTTTTATGCTTTTGCAGTGTTGTACAGCTGCTTATCTTGGAGTGCTGTAGCAAGCCCCCTCCTGGCTGCAAGTGCTCACTGGAAAGTTCACTGAGATGCAAAGGCAATATAACTTTGCACTATTCAGCACTAAGAAACAACTTGGATAGGGCCTGTGGGATGAATCCCTGGGGTTCCTCCTTTTAGCAGTTTACAATCATAAGTAGTTTTACCAAAAAGGGAAGCTGAAAAAGCCATCCCAGATGTGCAAATTTTAGTTTGTCCCAGGTTCTTTCCCAAGGAAGTGTGAGTGACTGATATATCCCCATACTGGCTTTATCTGCTTGGTAGAGGTGGCTCTTGCTGTCTCCCACATGTGAATTGTAAGGTTCATCCTAAAGTTCAGAATCTCTCTCTCTGATTATTGAACTATTCCATTGTTTTTCTGGAAATCTCCTTAAAAATCTTCTGTTAACTAGCATCAGGAAGCAAGGAAGGGACTCCTATTGYCGCATTTAGTTCAGAGGAGCCTGGTTCCTGGCTCATTTCAGAGGTACTTGATAGCATCTTGTCCACATCCTTCAGGGAATTTTGTTTCATGGCTCTKCACTCTTTACTCCTGTGGTTTGTGGTGCTACTCCTAAAATCTCCTTTGGACTTATTGCATCTAATGATACTTCCTTAAGTCCTTTTCACGGTTCCTGTTCCTTCTGCATGATCAGTGTCTTCAGAGAATCACAATGTATGGTGTGTTTTTTTAGTTTACATAATTAAATACAGGACTCACAATATACGATGGAACAGGTGTTAAAAGTTGGCTTGTTTTTTGACATTCTTTCAACCAGCAATGCTGTTATTTTCACAAGAAATTTGGCAAATGACAGTTTTTTCCAGYTAGAAAGAGCATGGTCAGTAGGTATGAAACCAAGAGGAAATTCCGGTTCCTGGAATTTATTTCATGTGGGGGTGGAACTTAAATACTAAGGAATTTAATTTTAATGTGAGGAASTTGTGTGTGAGTGGTCTGTCTGTCCCCCACCATGTTCTGAGATGCTAATTTAATTCTCTCATCACTCTTTTCTTTTTATAACAGGAGTGTAATCTCTCATCTCTGTGAACAGCATTTCTGTACCTACTGACACCTCTGCCACTCAGCCTTACCTGGTGCAATGTCMGGTGAGCACACCAAAATGGCCACAATGTCTTCTTGTTTGATTGCTTGCTCTGTCTTTAGCTGAAACTTCATAATGAAGGTTCCTGATTCTTTACATGAGCTTACTTTCTGGTCAGATAGAGAGAGAGGAAACTTTGTGTTCCAGCTGCCTTTTCACTCGGGTTGAGCTCTGTTTCATCTTTTACCTCTCATAATCTTTTTCAGCCATTGAACAGAGAGGAAGAACGAGGTTGAAATATAGACCAACTTCCCAATTTTTCATTAAAATTTGCCTGGTTCTGTTCTCTTCCCAAGATTTCCCTCAAAGTGAGTGGCTCACAATGACTGTATGAGATTTTTGCTGTACAGCTGTAGCTCTAGGGCTGGCAGAATGCTGAAGAATAGCTGGAGTTCAGCTGTAGAAATCTGAGATACAAGGTTTACTAAAACTAAGTCTTCTCATTCTTACAGAAGCCAACTCACCCACCTTGCACTCTTTTCTAAACCTCCCCTCTTGGTCCAGCTAGTTATTTCAGGGTACCTAGCCCTGGGGGAGACTATTTCAAAGCCAAGTTGACCTGTGTTTTGGTGATAGAGCAACAGAAGACTGGGCCATATTTATCTGCTTCAATTGCAAAGCTTGATGTCTGCTTGTATTCCCAGCCAAGCTGTTTAGAGGGATTCTACCTGGTGGAAGGGTGCTTATCTTGAACACAAAAGACCAAGATTATAGGCATACTTTCATTGCTGAATCTCTCTATACATGGTCTGACAACATCCCAGACCACTGGGAAAAAAGGAAACAGTTGAGCATCTTCATGAGGGCTCTGATTTTCCCCTCTGATGCCTGGGTGACAAAGCTTCAGGAAATTTTGAAGTGCTGCTGGTGCTGGTCCACAGAGGCTTTTACTTCTGCATAATAATACTTATTTCGTGATGATTCCCTTGGCTTGGTGCTTTTCACATCATTTTTCCAAGCAGGTGAGTGATTCATACGACACCATGGTACTATTTCGCTTCCCTAAAAATTACTTTCTTGGAGGGAGCTCCATTTGGCCTTTTTGCCTCTTTTGCTCAATACAAAAGAACAAAACCGTATGAAATTACAGGTTTCCTTAGTGAAGTGGGAGCTGTCTCAGTGTCTAGATTAGCATTAGGGACAAACTAGTGAATGTATCCTTCCCATGCCAGAACAGTCTGTATTGAGTGTGTATCTTCCAATGGTGTTCTTCTAAGTTTTCACTGCTATGTGTTGATCTCTTTCTGTTTAGGCCATCACACTCCATCTGCTGGGGGTCCCTTCTCAGCACTCACTCCCAGCATATGGCCTCAGGAGATCCTGGCAAAATACACACAGGTACAATGTGGGGCAGGGAGGGGCTTTGAAAATGTAGAGGGACGCTGGTGTTTTCTGGTGGTCTCTGAAAGCCATGGGGAAAAGGAGAAAGAGGTGCACTTTTCCTGCTGTGCTTTGGTTGTGGACTTCACATGTTTTGTGGCTGCATCCTGGCTCTTTTAAGAGGATCTTGCRAAGTACAAAGAAACTTGTGTGAATGTGTTTTTCAACTATTATTCCACTGTAAAAGTGTTTTGACACCCTCGGGGAGCCTCTGTCATCATCAGCCTCCTCTGGATGGCTTGTGYGTGGCAGGAAATGCTAGCCTCAAGCTTGTCACCAGGTAGGCAGAGCAGGAAGGAAGGAAGCAGCTGTGGAATTTYGTAACTTAGCTGCAGTTTGCTGAAAGCAGTTGAGTTCAGTGAGGCAGATTAAAGCTTTTTGAGTAGTTATGTGAACAGTTATTTTTGATTCTTGGCTGCTGCCCTGGTGGAGTGCTTGTGAGAAYCCCCACACGAGGGGCAGGTGGGCATGCAGGAAAGGGGAGGTAGCTGTMGGATTTTATTTTTAAGAAAAGCCTGGTTGTAACCTCCAGTGTATGTACCCCAATGTCAACCATGAGCACAGATGAGGAAGGTTAAGATTCAGGTTATGGACCTTAAGTTTCTTTGGCCTGTAATTTGGAATTGCATCACAGGTGCAAATCCCAGTTTTGCGTGCTGTCTTCCAAAGGAAATTTGGGTTTCCATGGAGTGGTGAAGGGAGCTGCATTTGCAGTATGTGTGCAGAGGTGACACGAAGGACTGCTGTGTAGTAGCACTGCAGACAGTGGAGACCACATTAGCTGCTGTGTGACTATTCCTTAGTCCCCGAGGAGGGCTGCAGGTCCCTCCAGGTGGGCAGTTCTTATCTTGATAAGATACTAAGCTCAAGTCCTGCAGGAAAAATATGTACAGATTTTTTCCATGCAGAAGTCAAAATAGGAATGGCATGCAACATCTCCTCAGCTGGAAATTATGGTGGGAAACTTCAAAAATTATAGAGCAAGAGGTCTAGTTGCTCAAAGGGCACGGTGTGGATGGTTGTGGGATGAGGCAATATCCAAGTGTCTCTGTTCAGTTATGCAGTGATGAGCTGCTGAAAATGTCTGTTCTCCTTCCTCACATCTCCCAGAAAGAAGAATCTGTGGAGCAGCCAGAGTTCCGCTATGATGAATTTGGTTTCCGAGTTGACAAGGAAGGTAAAGCCAGTTCTGTCCCTCCCGCTTTCATTGTGTCCAGTCCTTCTAATGCTTTCAAGTGTCACAGGATTTTRCAACCACTCTGTGCTAAGTCTTGTCTACCCACCTGTTCCTGTATCCTACTATTTGTAATCAAGTGCACTAGGTGTGCTGGCCTTATGGGAGTCTGACTATGGAGCATAGACTATGCAGCAGTCATTTCCATCCCCTTACACTTGTGCCTTGCRTAAGAGGGAGAGAAATGGAGAGGTTACCATTTCCAATAGCGGGTGCATGCTGGGGAAGGACAACTCTCCCACTTTACTATGGGATCTCCATAGTGTTCAGTAGCACTGCAAGGGCTCACAGCAGGAACAGTGAAATGTGCTGTCTGTTGAAAAGCTCATGGCCAAGGTGAATGGTGATATGTTCTGCCCATTTCAACATCTTGGCAAAGTGTAGGGCAAATTGCAGGTGGAAAACCTACATCCTAGTATTTCTGCAAGTTATGGAGGCAGGCAAGCAAACAGGAGGAGGCATATAGTGCTATTGCGCCTGAGCATTGAACTACAACACGTGGCTGCCTTAGCAAAGAGRAAAAGAATGGGAGATGTAGGAATTGTTTTATGTGCTCTGGAAGGTGTTCCCAGGGCTCAGACCATATAATATAAGGGCWGAAGTTGTTGGCATGTGTGCCCTGAGGCACCTTGAGTCATAGCGGATCCTCTTTGAAGCAATGACCTGAAGATGAGGACAGAACACTGTGATTTTTTTTCAGCCAGAACATTTGATGGACTTGTGCATTATAAAATCAGCAGAAAGATTTGGAATGCATTGTTGGGATGTATTATATGATGAAGGACACAGTGCCTTGTGTCAAACCGGTCCTTGTGCTAAAGTATCTATTTTAGGAAGCCAATCTCAGGTTAAGGTGCTCTCTCTGTCAGTTTGGAAGTATCCTTGTTAAAGCTTTTTTGATGATWAAATATCCCCGAAGTTAACATTTTGCACCTCATTACTTCCATGAGCATATAGCTTGTGTTTTCCAGCTCTGAAGCTTGCTATGATTTTGTGAGCCTGATTTACAGGTCTTTACAAAACCCCGCAGGATGACTGCTGCTGGAGTCTTGTTTAATTCCAGCCACACTGTGCTCTAAATGATGAGCAAGTAGAGACTAGAAGCCTGCCGACAGCTTCTTAGTTCTCAAGGTCTCAGTGCCTTTCACTTTTGACCATAAAACTTGCTGCATGGAGAAGGCATTTTGAAATGAAATAGGAGGAACCCTAGAAACCAACCTTTGCCTTTTCATGCTCTGACTAGAAGACATGAATGTTTTGAATGTGCTTTTCTCAGATGGCCATCCTAGTCCCCACCTTGCCTTGTGTTCATTTTCTCTCCAGTTCCCTCTTGCTTGTCTTCATTTCTTTCCCTTCCCTTTGCTGAAGCAGATGGTGCTGAGCCAAACTCCAGCAAGCTTCTGGGAGTCCCATTGACAGAGGAGCCCCAGCAGAGGCTCAAGTGGCAGGCTCATCTGGAATTCACACACAACCATGATGTGGGTGACCTCACCTGGGACAAAATCGAAGTCACTCTGCCACATTCAGACAAGTTGCGCTCCCTGGTGCTGGCCGGCATTCCACATAGCATGAGACCACAGGTGAGAGTACTGCCTGTTCTGGGCAGGTGCTCCTGCCTGGAGCAAGAGAGCAGGGATCCCTTGGTTGAGAGGGTGCCAGATTATGGCTTTATGTGGCTGTCCGAGTGACTTCTATCTCTGTTCACCCTGTCCCCCCAGCTGTGGATGCGCCTTTCAGGGGCTTTGCAGAAGAAGAGGAACTCAGAGATGTCATATCGCGATATCGTGAAAAACAGCTCTAACGATGAAACCATTGCTGCCAAACAGGTAGGASATACTTCCTAGTGCTGAGTTAGAAGAAGGGCAAGATTTGCTGTGTGAGGAGGAAGGGGTGCCTGCCTGACACCTGCAGCAGGGGTAGTTGAGAGGACATGTGGTTAAATCCTGCTAAAGCTTGATCCTGTGGGGCATATTTGTCCGTTGTTTTGTTGGAATAGCAATTGTTTAGCTCTGCTCTTTCCTAGGACAGTGGGAAGGGGTTTGACCCATGCTACTTGCAGACTAGAAAGTTCTGCTGCAGTTGCATCTCAGCAAACATCCACTGAGGGAAAGGAAGGGKGAAAGGCTGACAGATGCACCTTTGTTGTGGTTGTGGCAGCTGCTTCCTGKGCCTGTCTTTGTTCCCCAAAACACAAAGTATCTGAATTCCAGCAAGAGTATTAAATGGTGTTTTCCCTCTCCCTTTGACCTCACAGATTTGGCCAGGTTGTTGGTTTTTCTCTGAAATATGTTTGTTAGGAAGTCTTGCTTGAAATCCAATCAGATGAAATTTCCAACTAGTGTATGTGCACTGACATTTTCCCACATGTCAGTGAAGTGTGTTAAACTGACCCCAGGTGCTTGGACAGGGCCACCTTCTTTGGTGCCTGGGGACGTAGAGGTGGGTGTGGGGAGGCATAGTTCCCTGAGCCAGGGGACCAGGGGGAAGTACAGAAAGCTGAAGACAATTTTTCAGATGCTGCAAGCTGACTTTATCCTTGTTTATGGCTGCCTGACAGATTGAAAAGGAYTTGCTACGCACAATGCCCAGCAATGCCTGCTTCTCCAACATGAATAGCATCGGGGTGCCACGGCTGCGCAGGATACTACGGGGACTTGCCTGGCTCTAYCCAGACATTGGATATTGTCAGGGCACTGGCATGGTAACCTGCTTTCTGAGTGTTTTTGTGATAGGGATCAGTTTGTCTGTGGTTGTTAGACTGGAGGAAATTATTTGAGGTAGTGGTGCCAAGTACTGTGGTCTCCAGATGAGCTAAAGAGAAACCCATTCCACCTGGAATACTTTTCCTAAAGAAGGGAGAGCAGAGTAGCTCTCTCCCACATATCCAAAGATACAGAGGACTTTGTTCCATCTATTGGGGAGGAGTCACTCATTAAACTGAGGTGAAATACTTTCAGAGAAGGCTGCAAAAGAGCTCCTGCAGAAGGAAGATTTTTGTCACCTAGATAATGGTCCATCTCCATGTGAGAAGGTGGCGAAAGAGTTCTACTTCTCTTAGAACATGCAGTTTTTCTTCCTTCAAAATCCTAGGTGGCTGCCTCTCTGCTGCTCTTCTTGGAGGAGGAAGATGCCTTCTGGATGATGTGTGCAATCATTGAGGAATTGGTTCCTGCCTCCTACTTCAGCACCACCCTCATGGGTGTGCAGACAGACCAGCGTGTCCTGCGGCAGCTCATCGTGCAGTACTTGCCCCGCCTGGACAAACTGCTTCAGGAGCATGACATTGGTAAAAGTGTGCCCATCGCTTTTCCTGCCAGGGTGACATGCAAAGAGTTCTTTGTTCTTTCTTCACTGAGGGGAGCAGCAGGGAGAGGAGAAAACTTCCTGACCTTGGAGGCAATGTGTGGAGGGCAACCCTTAGGAGAGTCCAGCTTCACTGGTTGACTGACTTCCTCTGTTGTTGTTTATTTTCCACATCTCTATCCACAGAGCTCTCCTTGATCACCTTGCACTGGTTCCTCACCTCTTTTGCTAGTGTTGTCCACATTAAGCTTCTGCTGCGTATTTGGGACCTCTTCTTCTACGAGGGCTCTTTGGTGCTCTTTCAAGTCACTTTGGGCATGCTAAGTATGAAGGTAATTCCCAGCTATTCTTCTTCCTTTATATTAGTGTTTAATTCTGAGATTTAGGGGCAAGAAGGTTTTGTAACCACTTGCTATATGTGGGTTGGGAGTGTGTTAGGGAAGACAGCTTCCTGCTACCTTTGGAACTGGAGGCTGTGAAAAACTGCAAAGGCACTTCACAGAAATTGAAGATTGCTGTTTCCTGTGCATAGCCCATTTGTTGCCACTTATTTAAACCTCATCAGCTGCCCTCCTCTCTTCAGTCTTGATCCTGACCTGAAGGTCCATCTTACCTGAACCTAAACCAAGATGCCTCTTGATTTTGCACAATCTAGGAGGTGAGAGAAAGCCTAAGTTGTGATCATCTGGGAAGCTTTGGATGGCACTGCTGAATGCTCTAAGAGATGAGCATTGTTCTGACTGCATTTGATTTGGCTTGCCTGACCTTTTTCTCTCTTACGTGAAAAACAATTTTGTATTCAGTTTGGTGTGTGAAGGACAAGGGTGATCCTGCTGGGAGTAAGGGGAAGGTGGAGCACAGTTTGACATAGTAGGTGCTCTTATCCCTAGCAAGATCCCTGCTGTGAYCAGTCCTAGTGGTTGGTGCAGAATAGGTTTGGGTTTGGTTTTCCTTGCTTTTGATTTTATTTCAATGATGAATGTTGTGATTCCAAAAAATGCTGGCTAGAATTCTGGGAGGGAAGAGAATGCAGTAGAGCAGTAAAAGAAGCTGTCCCCCTTTTAAAAGTAGCTTGACTTTTTCTGCTGAAGGTTTTTTTATCAAAATTTTCTAGTTGTACCTGCCCTGGCTGCACACTTAATGTAAAACTGYATCTAGAGGCCGCATGAGCATAGCAGTCACATTCACCATTGCATGTGGCAAAAATGACTGTGTTGTTGCAGGAGGATGAGCTGATCCAGTCTGAGAACTCTGCCTCAATCTTCAACACACTCTCAGACATCCCAAGTCAGATTGAAGATGCMGATGTGTTGCTGCGGGAGGCCATGCACGTGGCTGGCTCGCTGACAGATGTGGCAGTGGAAGCCCAGCGCCGCAAACACTTGGCCTACCTCATCGCTGAGCAGGGGCAGCTGCTCAACTCCAGCACCACTGTCAACAATCTATCCAAAGTGAGTGCAAAGTCCCACCTACCTCTGCTGCTCTCTTTTGCCATTTCCTTACGTATTCCCACCCAGTTTTGGTTTGTGAGCAAGAAGTCTTCCTGTTTGAGAGTGTTTTTAACTCCAGTATARTTGTAATCCAGTGGAGAAAATGCATTGGAAAGTTCTATACCAATGAAATGCTGCCAGGTCTGTCCTGGTTGATAAATCCCCAGATGAAAGGGATATTGGCATTGATTGTAGTTATCATTCATGAAAGTTATGATGAAATCTGATGTATTTCATTAATGGAAATTAAAAGAAACCACATATGCTTTTGGCAGAATTGGCTTGAAGCACACAGAGAGTAGGAACATTAGTAAGAAACTGGTACACTAAAATAACCTTGGAAGGTAGAGTCAAAAAACAGCAGCAACTACTTTTGAGAAGCTGAATTAAAAATGCATCTGTATTTAATCTTGGACTAAAATCTACAGTTGCAGACAAGATACCTTGGCAATTCTGAAATGTAATAGCCATCCACTTAGAAATTTATATACAATTACATGTGGAACTTGCTTTGGACATCAAATAGAATTAGAATTAAAATTACTTACGTGGATTGTGGTTGATTCTTGAACTTCAGTTATGCTTTTGTAATAATTAATTATAAATAACCTGCTGCACATGGAGCAGATGAAGCAGTAGAGCTGATTTAATACATTAGGACTAGAACAACTCCAGTCTAAAACTGCCAGTTCACAGGCCTGCCTCTTCTAGTGGAAGCTGTTGGGACCCCTTCCCCTGAGCTGACTGGTGTGGAAGGTTGCTTTAATTTATTTCAGAAATCTGTCCTGATATGTGCACTTTGTTCTTTCTCTTTCCCTCAGATTGTGCGGCGCAGGACTCAGCGCAGGAAATCTGGCATCACCTCTCTGCTTTTTGGTAAGGACAATCYTGCGCCTTTCACGTCTAGTTGGTGGCTGTAGCAGCTTAGGAAGGAGGGGAGCAGGYAAAGCAAGGAAGCATTGGGACAGAGGGATTGGAGAGAAGGGAGTCAGAACTGAAGGATGAGAGGSAAGAAGTGCAGTTTACAATTTGCTTGCTTTGATCTGAGCCCAGAAAATAAATTTTAGTTTAGAYGGTTGTCCCTGAATGGTGACTATCAGCAGGTGCACCTCAGCCCAGCTGYAATGTCCTTCTCACACTGACCAACAGGTCAGACACATTGTCTGGCAGACATATGCAGTCCAACAGGCTGGATGTGGGTACTCTCTGCTCTTACTGTSCTCAGGTATTCAGGAACATCTCTGAGACATCTGAGACAGGGCAGGGTGTCTAGTGCATCACCCATCAYGGTCACCACAGGAAGTGTTTTTCTGGAAGAAGGCAACATACTGAATTTACAGGGCTCAAATGGTGTTCCTGTTGTGGTTGAATTGCCCTAATGAATTATAAATGGACTTTACTGGTCTTTCCCAAGAAGAGCTTTTCTGATACGCTCCAGGAAGTTGATATATTGTCATAGGCTTCCTATAAGCACATAGGGCATTACATACAAAAATTATGGTAGTATACCCATAAGGAAGTAAATTCAAGCATGCAGAAGTGAAGAAGTGCAGGAAAGTTGCTTGTGCAACCTAAACTCAGAGATTTTGTATGTGATGTTATATTACAGTCAGTACAGAGTGAACTGGCAGGGAACTTGGCTGCCATATGCATCTTCCTCATGTCTCAGATAAGTCTCCTTGTGTTTTATAAAGGTGATAGCGAGTTATACACATGCACACAGATAAACGTCAAGTTCAAGCTTCAAAATATATCAGTGATAGAAGCAAGATAATTGATGAGGTTTTCTCATTTTAGTGGGGCTTCATCATGGCCATCATGTTTTTTACCTAATACTCATAGTATTTAAAATGTTGGTTAAAACTGAGAAGTTTTCATCCTGCAGCAGTTCACCAGAATGGAAAAATTCAGCCCAAGTGAGAGAAAGGAAAGCTTGGATGTGATGAACTCATCCTCTACTGGGAACTGAAAATCAATCCTAAATGTAAAGTCTGCTGCCTGTGATAGTTACTGTGTAGAGCTGGTACTTAGCCCTCATCTGGAAGGGAATGAGAATTTACCCAGAGCTTAACTCTTCTTCCTTACAGTGAATTCAGATGTGGTAGTAACTTGGACAGGAGTCATAGAATCGCAGGAGCACTATCTAGAAGAGATCTCTCAGTGTCTGTATTCCAACATCTGCTCGAAGCAGACTCTTGCTTGTGTTGGATCAGGTTGCTTAGGGTTTTCTTTAGTTGAAATTCAATGAGTTGAACCAGATTTCCAATGCAGGAATAGAAAGGAATAATGAAAGGTAATTTAGTGGAGAGGAAAACATGCAAGATGTGTTTTCCTGTTGTGTGGGCATTACACCAAAGGAATGCAGGACAGCTCATCCTCCTGTGCAGAGCTGTGTAGCTCRTGAGCATTTGCAGGCTCAAAGTAGAGCCTCCTCACGTGTGGCTGGTCATGCACTGGTTTCCTGTTTGGAAATGTTTGTGTTGAAGTTTGAAAGTGTACATGCTGAGTGCAGTGTGGTGAGTCTGGGGGATACGCCAGCTGCTTTCCTCTGTACTGGGTATGCTCTAAGGTGGGAGAATGTGGAACTTGCTTCCCATGTCTCCTGCTTGCCTTTGGGTGGGATTGATCTGAGTACAGAGGGAAGAATATGGTATTGGGGCCAGATGGGACTGAGAGATGACAGAAAGAATCAGTGATCTGTGTAAATGAGAGTAGCCCACAGTGTGGGTGTGGTTTAGTTTCTTCTTTAGTCACATTCTTTTAGCAATGTGAAATTTCTGGGAATCCCCGACCTCTACGTGCTCACCTATCTATTTGCAATCTTTATATCTCTAAATAGTAAGATTCTTTCATGCTCTATTTCCTGCCCCTGGCTACAGAGGAGGAGACTTTGGGGTTTTTTTTGTTGCTTGAACTGGAAGTAACTATGCCCCACAATTTTTCTAGTCCAGAAGCAAAGTTCAGTTTTCTCTTAAGCTCTGTGTATGCGACTCTCAAATAATTTAATGTAGCGAATAGAAAACAATTATAAAAATAATTTAAAATCTAATTTTATGTTTCTATTTACATTCCTAACCTTTGGTCTTTTTAATTAGGATCACATGATTAAAARATACTGTTAATCACTTTTTAATTAGCAGAAGTTTAATATGTATATAGCTGTTGCAGCAGCTTTAGCTAAGGCCAAACTTTAGTCATATTGTTTTTTATAATGCTGTTAGAAGATAAGCAGAGTACTAATTTGCTAGCCAATGATTTACTTGGCTCCTGAATAAGAGCTGTGTTTGTATAAACATTGGAGCTCAGTGAAAAATACATTGGTTTAAAYGTTAATTTTGTTAATCAAACTACCACATCTTTAGTACATTATAGAGAGAGCAAAAATAAATATATATGAATAAAAATAATGATATATGAAATTACACTTTGAATTTAATACAAACTGATTTTTTTTAGAAAAGGAAGCAAATGGTTCGTTGTTCCCAAATCATGTACCCAGTATTTAAGGCATTCAGATACATTAGCTGTCTAAAGTATCCATCCCTTCAGCTATTTTTCTGCATAGACATAGGTTGTAAAAACTCCGGGGAGGGTTAGTGATAGTTGGAAGATGCTTTGGTAACTTTTACCTTGGACTCATGACCATTACTATACATCCCAGACTTTTGAAGTCTGGCTCTCAGGGAGGYTGAGGTCTAAAGCAGGAGGTGGCTTTTCTCTCGCGGCTCTGACTTCATGACTGGCACAGGAAAGTAGGCTATCTTGGTTTTTCAAATCTTTCCAAAACTCAGTGAAGAATGTGCTCTCAGCCTGTGAGTTATACAGATATCAGAAGCAGTTCAACCAAAAGCTGATTCAGTTTCAAGAGAATTTCAGTTGAAGAGAATTATTGCAAGTTCCCCAGTCTTACGTCCCACCCTTCAGCTGACTATATGTTGTAGACACTTCTCTAAAGTGGTACYTTGGTATAATGAGTTTACCAGACAGATCAAAGATGACATACTCCAGTTCCATATGTGGTTTGAAGTACCATTTCCTTAAAATTTGATGCAGTCAAATTGGGTTTTGCTATTTACATTATTGAATAGATGGGCAGTAAGTACTTGCCTTAGTGTAGGTACTTCGGATGTTAATTTTTTTTTGTTTCTTCAGAACGAATGATTTTTAATGTTAAAAAAGTAAATACCATGTACTTGTTTTCCTTCCCTTGCCTTCCCTCTGGCTGTGTGGGCCTCACCAGGGGATGATGATCTGGAGGCACTGAAAGCCAAGAACATCAAGCAGACAGAGCTGGTGGCTGACCTGCGTGAGGCCATTCTCCAGGTGGCACGGCACTTCCAGTGTGTGGATCCCAAGAACTGCAGCATTGTGAGTGGAAATAGTTGGATCTGCGCTGCTCTGTGCTCCAGGCATGGATTTTGAGTGTCCAYCATGGGACAGGGCTGTTCAAACTCTCCTGAAGTATGGGCTTGAGAAAGAACATGCCAGGTGGAATGGCTGGAGGGTGAGGCTTGCTTAAGCCATCCCTGTGCTGGGAGGTTGTCTGCTGGCTAGCAGCAGGAAAAGGTTTGGGAACAGGAGCATGCAARCTTTGGCAGATAGCTGCAAGTCACCTGTCACTTTTCATTCCTCTCTGCTCTCATCTTCATGCCTGCTAGGATCTGACTCCAGACTACAGCATGGAAAGTCACCAGCAGGATCACGAGAACTATGTGGCCTGTTCCCGCAACCGACGCCGACGAGCCAAGGCACTGCTGGATTTTGAGCGCCACGATGATGATGAGCTGGGCTTCCGCAAGAATGACATCATTACGGTGTGTCAGCCTAGAGGACAGGCATCAGGGTGGGACATGCAGACCCAGCTTGTTTGGGATGCTGCACTACCTCTCCTGCAGGGAAAGGAGGAAGGAGATAAGTTCAGAGCACAGTTAAGAGCCCAGCAGAAGCAGCTGGTGCTCCTGAGGGCTGCCTGGGGATGAGGTAGTGTGTTCCTGTGAGTGTTGTCTTGTGGGTTGTTCTTACTGCCACCACAAAGTCCCTTTCCTGGCTGCCCTAAGTTGTGCAAAAGATGTATTTGGGTCCAACCCGAGTCCCAGTTTAACACTGCAAACTGAGCTGTGGCAAGATTGTAAAAGCATCTATTTGCATTTTAGCTGTGGGCATCCCATCTGAAATTGGGGAGAACAGGATGTTTGCAGTAGCTTTGTGCCCTTGAAGGCCCTTGGCCATGTGAGAAGAGAGCATTGGCAAAGCAGTTGAGAAGAAAGCAGTTCCTCATTGTGGACACACAGCCAGGCAGCTCTAGCCCTCTTGCCACTGCAACCTCTTCAAATGGTATTTTCCACTCCCTCTTTTTCAGATCATATCCCAGAAGGATGAGCACTGTTGGGTGGGAGAGCTGAATGGACTGAGAGGTGAGAACAGGATGGGTTGCACTGGGGAGAGTGGGGCCGGATGCAGAGCATCCATTCATCTACAACAATTGCTCTGACAGCAGAGGGTCTGCCAGGTACCCAGAGTACCTGCCAGGGACAAAGGAAATGTATGAGTGCAGTCATACAGCAGTGACCTGGTTACTTCTGGCAAGCAGAGAGTTTAGGCTCCACCCTCCTAGCATGGGGTGGTTGAGTACATGTCACCATCGTTGCATGTGGGCAGTGTCCTGCAATTGGCTTTCTCATACAGCTGCCTTAATTAATTATTGTGATTTTGAGGCTGCTTGCTTCCTTGTTTGGGGTTGAGCCTTATGAACCTTGATTAATTCTCAGCTCCCACTGGGCTTTGTGTAAGGATTTCTCAGTATCTTTATCAGGCTCATCTGTTTGTTCATTCTTTGTAGGTTGGTTTCCTGCAAAATTTGTGGAGATCTTGGATGAGCGRAGTAAAGAGGTACTTAAAAAGACCCACATCTACAAAAAATGCCACATTTAGAAAAAGGGGTTATGTCATAACTGAAAAAACACAGTTGTAAAGAGCCATAGATTTGCCTCATTCAGTCTGTCTGATTTCTCTGGCCTTTGAGTGGTTTGTGATGTGATCAGGCACTGTATATTCCTAAGCCTGTTTGTTCAACTTCCTCATGCTGACCAAGTGGAGAATGAGGGCYCCAGAGGGCTGCTAGGGGCACCTATGTAGAATGACTGGGGTTGTAAGCATCCTGGAGATTAACCTTGAGAAAGATGCGAAAGTAGCAGGGAGAGAATCAGGAGGATCCCATGGGCAGTTTCTGTCTGCTCCCCCCTGCCTGTGTTCTTTTCCTACTTTGAGGCTGTACCTATGGATCCTGCTCATACTTTGTGAGCATGACAGTGAATTCTCCCCAAGCGGCTGTGCTCAAGAGGACCATTTGTCTTAGTTCCTTTTACAGCTGGCAGTGGTGAGATGACACTTAACTGTAGCAGATACTTCAATATGTCCTCAAGGCTGGGGTAGTATGTTACAAACATCATCAGCTGTTGACCTAAGCAGTTTTCAGGGTTAGTGGAGAAGGCCTGGTTCTCCCTCTTCTTCTCAGCATTTGAGAAGTGAGGAAGAGCTCAAAGGCTGACCGAAGACCCCCAAGAGAAGCRCCCAGAGAGAAATCACTATTGACATCTCACTTGCTTCCTTCCCCCTCTCTCAGGGCTGGCTCTTAGATGCAGATCACCTCTCTGTGCATAAACATGTGCTGCACTGCTGAGCATTTTTCCCCCTGTCACGTTTTGAACTAATTTAATGGGGGCAAACACTCCCAAGTTCCAGCAAACCCCCCTCCTTTCCCCACCCAGGTCCTAGAGACAAACTTTTCCACAGAGAAGAAAGTTAAAAGAAAAAGAAAAAAAACCCTATTTATTTAACAAAACAACAGCAACAACAAAAATAATATGCCCACAAAGAAGAGAGGGGGAAAAAAAGAAAAAATATAAAACAAAAAACAAACAAAAAAATACCAAAAAAACCCCAAAAAAAACCCCAACAAACATGTGGGACCAGCTGTTGGATCTTAAAGTCTTTCTCTTCCCTCCTGGGAGTGGCTTCTCCCTCCAGGGCCCCCAGAGGGGTTGGACAGAGTCACTCCGGTGGTTCACTGGAGGATCTTTCTCGCCTGTCGCGCCATTGGAATCTTCTAATTCTCAGATGATGAAGAAAAAAAAAAAATCGAGGGAAAAACAAGTCCAAAGAAGAGGGAAAAAAAGGAGCAGTCCCAGGGAGCAGGCAGCTTCTTCCCCGCCGCTGAGCCTGAGACTCCTCCAGGAAATGTGTCCAACTTGTACCTCTCCCTCCCACTGTCCTTGAAGGGAGGAATATCACAAAACAAACCAGAGCAGTCTCAACTAATGTACAGTTACAGAGGGATTGTTTACCTTTCCTGTAACATAAGCAGATGATGGGAATACAAATACTCAGCTACCCTAGGACACTTCCTAACTGTGGAAACAGAGAGGATCCGACTTACAGTAGTGTTAACAGAGCGTTAGTGTGATACCTCAAAGTGGTGTATACCCCCTGACCTGGAAATTACTGTCTGGTTCTATTTGTCTTGACTTTTACCAGCTTACGGAGTCCCAGAGACTTTCAGTGCAATTTCCTCTCCATACCTTAGCTCAGTCAGCATCACACCATCCCATTCCTACATGCTAAATGCTGCCAGGAGGTGCTGGGCACCACCTGGGCACCACAAAAGCACAAAGGTCCCAGGAGATCCTCTGCAGTAGCACAGAACATGGGGCCTTATGCAAGAGCATTAAAGGTAAAGGGGAGGAAGGGGTTCTGGTGGGCTCCTGGGAGAGGAATTGGTCTGAGCAGGGAAGCTGTAGGTGAGTGGACCACCGCCATGCTTTGTCCCCTGCCAGTGTGCTGAAAGTTGGCTCTTCCTGTTCCTCAGTACTCCATCGCTGGAGATGACTCGGTCACAGAGGGGGTGACGGACTTGGTGCGAGGGACACTCTGTCCAGCCTTGAAGTCCATATTTGAACATGGATTGAAGAAGCCATCTCTGCTGGGGGGGGCCTGCCACCCTTGGCTGTTCATTGAAGAGGTGAGATATCCCAGTTTCTTTTGTGGGGCAGTGTTGCCAGAGGGCTGGGGTGAGGGCACAGAGTGTGTTGACTGTCCCTCTGCTCCTCTAGGCTGCAAGCCGGGAAGTGGAACGGGACTTTGACTCCGTGTATTCTCGCCTTGTGCTCTGCAAGACTTACAGGTCTGTGCCCTGCTCCTGCTTGCTCATCTAACTGATGCTGCTCTGCACCTTGGAAAGGGTCATAGTCTGCCCCTTCCTCCTGAGGATGTGGTGTATGCAGACTGTTGTGCCTGTGCTGACTTGGGGCTGGCAGTGGCTCTTGTTTTGTCCCCTGGGCTCCTGTGTTCACTTCTGGATGTGTATCAGGATTCTCACGGCTTTGGGGGGCACCTGTGGCCTCAGCAGTAGCACGAGAGCTGTTGGGAAAAGCAGGAAAGGTCTGCGTGTACCCAGGGTGACTCCGGAGCTAGCTGGGTCTCTGCTGTGATCTTTACAGGCTTGATGAAGATGGCAAAGTCCTCACTCCAGAAGAGCTGCTTTACCGGGTGAGTGATTCCCAAGCCAGAGCCCARCTCTTACCTTGTGGAAGTTTCCTGTTGAATCTACTGGAGGGAGATGCTTGAGAGTCTCCCAGATTTTCTCTTGGCCTCTCTGGTGCTAGCAGGGGAACTGGTGAGGGTGGGAGCTCCAGGGAGGGCAGCATTTGCCTGTGTTGCTGAAATGGCTGCCCAGTAGTAACCATATGTTCCCTTCCTGCAGGCGGTTCAGGCTGTGAACATGACACACGATGCTGCACATGCACAGATGGACGTGAAGCTTCGTTCTCTCATCTGTGTTGGACTCAAGTGAGTCATTGGCCCTGATACCCTCAGCATTGTGGGTGCACAGAGCTTGGGAAGGGACAGAGTGGGCTTAAATGCAGCACAGGTTTCAATCTACTTTAGGCCATAGCACTACCTTTTTCCCCCCCCTCACTGCAGCCACTGGGTGAGACTTGCTTCTTGTGCATTGTGCTGGCCTGATTCCTGGCTGGAAAAAGGAACTCCTATTGCATGGAGCGCTCACACATGTTTACTGGGTTATCCTGTTCCCACTGCTGGGGGTCAAGGTTTGGGCTGAAAATAGACTATCCTGAAGGTTTGGGGTTTCTTTCTGTGGCTTTAGCCGAGTTTGCCTTTCCCTGTTGTTGCAGTGAGCAGGTGCTGCATTTGTGGCTGGAGGTGCTGTGCTCAAGCCTACAGACCGTTGAGAAGTGGTTCCATCCCTGGTCATTCCTGCGCAGTCCTGGCTGGGTGCAGATCAAATGTGAGCTGAGGTAAGTGTCCCCACGGGCCTTGCCAGTATCTGGAATGGATTTCTTCCTCCTCCTCTGCAGGAGATGGTACTCACTATGGCTAGGTTTGGGTCCTCTCCAGTGAATTGCAGCGTGGGTGRCCCAGATATGCAGCTGCAGAGATTTCCTGCTGTGTACTGAAGCAGCAATGCACCTCTTGACAGCTTAACTTGAGGCACTGTGCCTGCCTGATACAGGAGCAGAGCTTGGCTCCTGGGGACCATCCTTTGCCTGCCAGCTACCTCCTGCTCTGCACCTACTCTGATGGAGACACTGCCTTTTCCACCCCACTGCTCTCCATGTCCTTTGCCAGCCACTCTAAGTCCAAGCAGGGAGCAGGGAATGGGCTAGGGAGACAGCTGGACTGTCATTTGCTGGGAAGGAGTCAGTCACCCACTGATTCCCTGGTTAGATGAGGGAGTGGTATTAGGGGCTGAAGGCAACTTTAGTGCCTGATCTCACACAAAGCAGTCACTTGGAAGCCAGGGCACACTTCCATGTGGCTCCTGGCATCCGTGCTCCTGGCCCTCCTCCGCTCTGGCAAGCCAGGTGAAGTCCCAGGAAGATGGAGGGCAAATCCACTACCATCCCCATTGTTCCAGCCTGGTTGCTGCTGCTGTTCAGTGGGAACTGGCTTTTGTCTGCACCACCCAGTTGCCTCGGGCAACAGTGGGAGCATCTGTAGCCAGAGCAGCCCTGTGTGTGCACACCTCAGGGTGTCTGTTATCAGTCTGCTGCTGAATGTGGGAGGGGGTTTCCTCCACCTCTGGGCTGCCATGCCACAGCTGCCTTCTTACAGCATGGGGCAGTGCCAGTTGAGCACAGCTRAAGGACTGAGTGGAACTGGTTCATGTCTTATGTCATACTTCTCCCAGCCAGCAAGGGAGATGCCCCCATGCCAACCCCTTACAGCACTTCTGCTGCAGGACACTTCTCTTGCTCCAGGGAGAGGGAGGGGGCTGAAGTGGGACCTCAGCTGGGAGAACTCTGAGGTGCTACTGGCAGGGGTCTGCTTTTTGGAGAGGGACCTCCAAATCTGTCATTGCCAGCTATGTGCAGCCCTCAGCCAGGCGTGTCTGTGGTCTCCTAGAGCCTGGGGCTGCCTGTTCCTCCCTGTGCTGCTGCACCAAGCTCTGTAGGGGCTGCACTTGAGCAAGCTCCTCCTTACAGCCTTGGCCTGGCAGGATGCGAAGCCCAACGAGGAGGGGGAAATAGGGAATGAGTGACTGCTGCTGTCTTTTCAATACCATCAGCCAAGGAATTTCATCCTTGTAAGCTTAGTGGCATGCCAGGACAAGCTGAGGAGACTGTGTATTTGTGTGCCTGGGGGCAGCAGTTGTGGGCACAGGCTGCGAGTGTGGTCTGGGGGAGTCTGCTTTAACATTGCTCTCTTCTGTTTGCATTGCAGAGTCCTCTGCAAATTTGCCTTCAGCCTCTCTCAGGACTGGGAGCTGCCAATAAAAAGGGAGGTGAGTAGGTGGCATCTCTCATTCCCTCATTCATCCGGGAGCTTTGCTTACTGCCTCTCTCTCCTGGCCTTTTGCTCTAGCCCATCCTCTACCTCCTCCTGAGCCAGCTCCAGAGGCTGTGGATGGGGCTGCTTTCCCTGCCAGGGCAGGCTATGAAGCAGGAGCTGTGTGGCAGTGCTGGCAGATGGGGCTTCCTGCCCTGCCCAGCTGTGGTAGAGGGAAATGGCAGGCTCTCCTTCCCTGGTGCTCTCCAAACCGCAGGGCCTCTCCCTGTGCCAGCTGTACAAAGGTGTGGAGTTYGCACAGGAAGCTGCTCTGTCTGTCCTCAACCTGCTTGGGCTCTGCCGCAGAAACAACCTCCCCTTTCTGAGTGTGGTGCACTGACCCTGGTCTCTGTGTCATCCTGCAGGAGAAGGAGAAGAAGCCACTGAAGGAAGGGGTGCAGGACATGCTTGTGAAGCACCATCTCTTCAGCTGGGACATAGATGGGTGACCCTCCACCCTGCCCCATCCTGGGGACTTTCTCGATGGCGCACACTCCTCTCCCCCACACCTTCATGTCTCACCCCCTGTCCTTCCCCACCTCTCCCACTTGTATCTGTGACAAAATCCCTCTCGGGAGCTGCCAGACCACCTGGGACAGATGGCAGCAGTGCYGAGAGGCTGAGCTGCAGACCTGAGGCGGGTAATGGTCAAGGGTGATGCTGCAAAGAGATGAGTGTGTTCTGGCTACAAAAACCAAGTGCCCCCTCCCAGCTTTCCACATCTCTGCCGCCCACATCTTCTGCTTTCCTCAGCCCTGCCTCCCCACCAGTGCCAAGGGCAGCAGCCTAGCTGGAGCCATTGCGTGCTGCCCCACAGGCCGAGGGAGTCTGAGTGTGGCTGTGGCTGTGGGGAAGAGATGGCCCTTGTGGGGTGGCTTTGATCCGTGAGAGCTGGTGCTATTGGCAGTTGGCACTGCAGCTGCATGTGGAATTGGGCTGGTGAGACTCACTGCTGTACAGTAGCAGGGAGATCACATCCCCCTCCCCACGCCAGCCAAGGGTTCCCCTCTGCCAGGGGACACTTGGACAAGTTCCTTTGACCTGGAGCTGGAGCTGAGAAGAGGGAACTCTTCTGGCATTAGCTTCATCCCATCTCCCTGGCACTGGTGTGTGGATGTTGACAAGAGTTGCCCAAGTTTACCAGTCTGTTACCACTGTAACAGCCTTAGGGGATGGTCCTTGTCTCCTCTGGGAGCAGACAAAAGTCACCTCTCCCCTAAACAAGGGTGTTTCATGCTGTCATTTTAGTCTCTAGATGATTTTTACTGTTAACCCAAAAATCTGTAAATTTACTCCAGGAACATGTATATTTTGGCACCATTGTAGCTCAGGACAAAGGTTTAGGTTGGAGCTGGCTCAGGGAGACTAACTCGTCCTCCTCGCCTTGCAATGGCAGTGGGGTAAGGAGTGGAGAATTGCTGCTTTGTGGTGGTGGCTCTGGATATGGAGTCTGTGACTTTCTACTGAAAGCGCTTGTCTGTGAGCACAAACTACTGATGGGATGACATTATATTCTTACTTTCCTTTATTTGGTGGGTTTGTAAATAAAAATTGCGTCTTGGGAGAGTGCTGGGCTTTGTCTTATTTTTTGACAGGGCCAGGACTCTGTTTAATTTTTCCTTTTTGCCATTTCACAATGGTGAGCCCATTTCTGCACTGGCACTGAGGGAGCTCCTTGCATCAGAGCAGCCTACAAGGTCAGGCAGCAGCCRGGGAGAGCCAGTTCTGCTGCCAGCAGTGGCAGCCCCTCTGGCAGACTCACTTCTGCACCACCAGCCCTCCCTAAGTGCAAGTCCACAGCGGAGCCCCAGAAAACCCAGAAATACTGAAAACTGGGTTGTAGGGACACTGCAGGAGGAGAACAGCCTTTAGGAGAGAGAGGGAGAGAGGCGGGCAGAAAGCAGGGCTGGGTGGTGGGAACAGCAGTGTTGTCTGTTCAAGAAGCATCTCTGGGAAAAGCAGGTGTAGGCTTAGCTGGAAAGTGGGACAGTAACAGGGCACAGGCCCTTAGGAGAACTGTTCAGAAGTCCAAGCTCATGGGAGGGTGGGAGSTGCAGCATATGTACGGGTTTGAAATTGAGTGTTTTCCGTGAAGGTAATTTCCTTTGGAATGTGGCAGTGTCACACCACCACCACCTGGAGTCCAAACCAGCCTGSCTGGGCTGGGGGAGACTCTGATTGCCTGGTGAAACCTGCTTCTGGTTGCAGAGTAGGTAATTTCCAAACACTGAGGGAATCTCCCTGTGGCTGAGAAGGGTGAGGCACCACCACTTACACTGCTTTTTTCAGGTTTGAGAAAGACTCAAAGGGATCACCCACCCTTAGCTGGAAAAGATAGTGGCCCCAAGCCCTCCCACCAGCCTAGCAGAGAAGTTTTTGAGCACRTGACTGTTTGGAATTTTTTTAATAAAATGGATTTTTTTTCTTCAAATATTTGTAACTGAAAAAATAATTCAATTTAAAGATCCATTCTCTCCCCCCATTAACTTGTCACTTTTATCCTTTTCCAGTTGAATACTCGCTCTGGATCTGATGCCCCAACACCATCCGGCACTGATAGTGCTGATCACCCCTCACCACTGGCTGCATAGTGGAAGGGAGAGTGTGTGCTAGTCAAATACACATTACAAACAAGTAGTGGTTACAGCAGAAAGATTCAGGATTACATTCAAGGTAGAGGCAGAACATCAGACTTCATTTTTCCCAGTGGGTGCAAAAATGTATGTCCAGGGGAATACCTCTTCTGACAAAGAACTATTGAACTATTATTCAAACAAATAATAGTAAGAAAGCAGAGAACTGGGCAAGCCTGCTCTGGGTGCTGCTTGGGGAAAAGACTTTCTAACATTTCTGGGGCTGAGCCACCACCTTCCCTTCTGCCTGCAGGCACAGGGTCATCATTCATTTCCCTGGCAGAAGCCCCTTGTGCAGAGGGGCTTTCACAAGTCAGCCAGGCTCCTTGGGACATGAGGCTCATGGTTCTGTATCCTCTGGACTACTTGAGTTTCTTCAGCCCTTCAGCCAATGCARGTATTCTGGCCAAAATCTGGGTCACTGGATTTCTACAGTTTCACACCTGATGGTGGATGGGGTAAAGGTGAAAAGGAGTAGCTGTGAGCTCAGCCTTTCACCAGCAACCTCTCGGAAGGGCTACATTGCTAACAGGCATTGACATCTCTCTGCCAATGACTGGAGTACCTGGCCCAGGGCAAAGAACCAGGGCTGGTTCAGGCCAGGACTGCAGCTAGAGTGCTCCCATCTTCCTCTAGGAGCTCATTGCGCTTTATTGATTATTTCCTTCTTTATTTGCTGGCTGCAGATTTGTAAAGATTTGTATAAAAGAAACAACACAGGTGTTTTTTGTGGGGGTCTACTGGACCTATGGGCTTAAAAAACCTGATTTTGCTTGAGTCTGACAAACAGGCAGCCTCATTTCTTCCCCTTGGCATTTCAAAGATTTACTCTCCCCATACTTTCCTCCTAAGAAACTCCTTGACTCCTGACCCCACAGCTGGACCGCTGCCCTGCGGAAGCTGGTGCGAGCTCTGTAAGGCGACAGCTATGTACTCACTGCTCCCAGTGAGCAGGAGGGCTGCATCAGGAGAGAATTCAGGAAGGCCTTAGGAGGGTAGAGGGCGTGCCCAGCAGTCTCTTACTCTGATTTTTAAGATGTGACCCTGTACCTTGAGCAATAGAAGGCCTGTGGGGAAGGGGAAGGGAGGTGATGTCCTCCCCAACCTGGACACTAAGGGAGGCAGATAAGAAGCTCCGACTGCTTACAGCTCAGGGACAGAGAGGAGGGGGCAGAAAGGAAGGAAACTGCCAGCAGACTCCCCCTGCAAATGATTAAGAAAGTGGCTCCCCATGCAGTTAACAAGCAAATAGGGCTCAGAAAGGCAGGAGTATTTCCCAGCTGTGAACAGGCATGACCCCCTCCAGCTGCCACTTCAGTGGCTGAGGGAGAGCACATAGCCCAGGGTTGACATTCACCTGCCCCACCATGGAGCAGAGGAACCGGCACCCCTGTGCCACAGCCTCCCCCTGAGAAGAGGGCCAGGTACCATAGGTGCAGGGAAGGAGCATGTGGCTCACAGCTACCCCTCCGCAGCAGGAAGCACTGCAGCCCAGCATGGGGGAAAGGTGGGGACAGCATCCTCAGGGAGATACTGAGAAGTAKGGCAGTTGATCCTTTCATTGCCTAAGCAGGTCACTACCTCAGTCCAATGTGACTTACGGAGCCACAGCTTCCCCCACCTCACTCAGACTGAGCAGCCTGGAGCCAGCTCAAGGCCAAAGCAGGGACAGCCTTGTGGTGAGGTGGCCACATCCACCTAAGCCATGTCCCACCTGGTCAGTATGGCCATGAGTTACTACTGACACAGGAATTGTAAATTAACAGGAGTAACAGCACAAGAGCCACAGGCCTGGTGCTCCACCACAGAATCCTGCCCAAAGAATAGTACCTTCATGGCTCTGAGATATTAGGGGTTTGTCCACCCACTCAGTATGCAGTTCTGCTGAGGCACCAGCGTGGGRCCCTACAGGGACACACAGCACCAGCTCACAGTAAGCAGCCATTTACTTTTGCCCTGTGGGACTGGAGGGAGGGAAGAACAGAGGTCAGCTGCCAAATACCTGCTTTCAGGCTYCTCCCCAGGAAGGGGCCCTCACAGTCACTGAGCCAGCAGCTGTGCTGTGCCACACAACACACCCCCTTGCAGTCCCAGTTCCCCTTCCTCACCTACTGGATACAACATCCATCCCYAGCTGCTGCTTTCCACTGAGGCATGTACAGTGAGGCACCAACACAGTGAAGGAGGGAGACAGATTGCACATGGCCCCCRGTGATATGTTACTTATTACCAGCTCACCCCTCGCCCACTCCCCAGGACACACAGGTGCTTTCATGTTCCTAGTCCCAGCCACAGGCTAACTGCCCTGCTCACCTGGGGATGTCACAGGTGCTGTGGGAGCTGAGGGCAATGGGCTGTGCCTGACAGCAGTTTTAACCTATAAGGACCTAATTTTAGCACCTTAAAAGACTGTTCTGCAGCCCGAAGCAAGTGAAGGAAGCAGAGAGGCTCGCAGGCCTCTGCCAAGCTCAGCAATATGTGGGAAACCAGATATTAGACATTACCAGGTTGGTGGGGAGCCCTGGTTCCCTTTGGCTACATTTAGAGAACTGCCTGTTCTGCCCAGYTCCTCCCAGCCCTGCAGCAGATCAGACCCTCCCCTGACAGAYGGCAGGGAGTACAGAGGGCAGCTGCTCTGAGCCCCAGGCAGCCCTCCTGCCTTTGTGTCCTGCTCCAGAGGTAGAATTGCCTTCCACAACCGTTAAGACCGAYGGTGCTGGGGCAGCACAACCCCCTTTCTCTGCTAGTCCCAGGAAGGTGCAGAGTGCTGCTTCTGGAAACAGCTCAGTCCCAGTCATGCTCTGTCCCACATTTAGGGAACAATGCGCTGCCATTGCTGTTCCTGCCTGGAGGAAGAGCGACTGCTGGCTTTGCTCTCACCCCGGCTGGGTCAGGCTGTGTCGAGTGGGCAGGAGGCCACCAGCCCCACAGCTCCTCCTGCCTCCTTCTCCTACTTCACCCCAGCAGCCATTCTGCCTGCCCTGGCCTAGTCCACTGCCAGCTTCATGCAGGAAGGACACTGTTGGGGAGGAGTACAAATACTAGGAGCGCTTTCTTTTTTCTTTTTTTGGTTGACTGGCCTCTTCCCCCTGCATGCCTGTGCCCTCCCACTCCCATTCCCTTCAGTCTCTGCTCACAGAATTACAAGCAAGAATCCCAGTGCAGCTGCAGATCATGTCCATCAAGAAAGTCTGTGGAAAAGAGGCTGGGAGCCGCAGTGTTCAGGGGAGCCAGGCTCATGACAGACCCCCCTGGCAGCTCCAGCCAGTCCATGCTGTCCAAGTTAGCCTCAGCCAGATCCAGGGTTATGCCCCCAGACGGCTCATGAGCAAAGTGCAATTCCGAGGTGTCCATAGGTGAAGGCGGGTGGTCCAGGATGGCCGAACTGCTAAGCATCTCACTGTGGAGGTCATCAATCAGGGACAGGGGCTCCGGCCCATCGTGGCCTGCCGTCAGCAGCGGGAGGCCGGTGCTGCTCTCCAGGAAGTCCTCCAGCCGGCCCACAGGCACCGGCTGCCCCAAGGACCCTGGCACTGCCAGCTCTGAGGAGGGCTGGCTGCCGGGCGGTGGGGAACAGGCTGGGGCCACAGGTGGTTCTTTCCCAGCTGGGGATGACTGATCCTTGAAGTCAGCAGAAATCTCTGTACAAACAGGGAACAAACAGGCCAGGTGAGGCAAAGTCTGGTTGAACACCAAGAGGATCCCTCCCACCCACCAGGGCCACAGGGACCCCCCTAGACTAAGGCATCACTGACTACCAGCTGGGATAAGGAAACTCATCCTGTGCCTGTGCTTGCCTGGCTATGGGGAATTTTCAGCCCACCTCCACAGAATTCAATCTTTGTCCAGTATCTCAGAAGCGATGTGACCGGATCTGATGCAGCAGAGCCATCAAGAATCACAGAATCATATTAAGGCCTGACTGTCATCTCCCTCAGTGCCTTAATCACTACTGCCAATGCTAAAGGCACTRGAAGGAATACCAGAGAAAATAGCAGGGCCATGACAAACTGTCTACTTGGTGCTCTACAATTCCCAGACTCAGATCCAGGAGCTATGGGAAATACTGGCTTTGTCTCCTTACCTCCACTTTGGATGAGGATATCAAACAGGTCGTCCATCTGCTGGCTGGAACAGCCGTTCTCCTGGGGAAAGCAAGTGCAGGATTAGCTTCCTATTTACCTGGGCTGCTGGCTCTCCTCCCTTGCCCGAGGGACAGGACTGCTTTCTAGCAAGAATGAGCACACCGGGTCCYCTATAACCCAGGCTGTTACTGGCTGGGTAAGTATGGTCAGCAATGGCAATGAGTGGCTTGGGATTTTTACCTGTGATTTATGGTTTGTCCCAAGGAGGAAAGGTCTGTTACCCCAGAGGAAATTCARCTGGGATGGTGCAGTTCTATCTCCATTCCCTATCACTGGCCCACATCAAGAAACTAAGCACATTCACAATGGCAACTTTTCATCTGCTCTCCGAGGAAACCAGCTGCTGCCCAGGGTTCACTGCTCCAGGGGAAAATAATTGCTCTCACCTGGGCCTTTGGCTGTTGTTTCATGGCCTCTTCATAGCCTGGTGGTGGGTCTTTCATTGGGACCGAGGGAACAGGAAGAGGAGATGTTCCAAAAAGCGGTGTGTGCTGTTGCTGCTCCAGGTCCATCTGGGAGGGAGAAGGGGCAGCAGGAGAGCCAGGCTGCGTTGAGGACTGTTTAGAATGAAGGCAGAAAAGGAAATTAATGCAAATTGGGGAAAAGTTACATCAACTCCTGTCTCACAGCTGCTTCGAGAGACCATCATCTCTCCCTGTGAACACTGCACAGAGGTCTGCACTGCTCTGCCCCCAGCAGCCTGCCTTCTTCCCTGGACTCTGTGCATTATGCCCTAGCTGCAGGGGAAGTAGACAAGTTTCCCCTCCAACTTACAGCTGGAAATCTTTAGCTGATTTTTCCAATGCTAAAGCAGTTGCACCACAAACCACCTTCTCACTTCTGGACAGGGAGAGCCTCATCTGTCCAAGTGGAGGATTCCTCCAGCACTTTGGGGAGTAAGGGCACTTCCTTTGTGTGTTCAGCCTACTCTGTGCAATATATCCAGAGCCTGTCTTCTACCTGCTTTGGGGTCACAAGCCAAATTCACTTAGCAGCAAGTTTCACAGCCTGATGGTGGGCAGAGAGCACCAGAGCACTCAGCAGCACCAGAACTCCAAAGGAAACCCCAAGTGTTTCAGGAAGTGGTGCTCATGACTCAGCTTTACCAGATGAATCAGCACACAACTGCCCGCAGATAAGCTGAAACGAGGATCAGGCCTTTGCCTCTACAGCAGCTATGCATGACCCACATGGAAACTTGCTCCCCTGGAGCAGTGAACCCTGGGCAGCAGCTGAATGCTACTTCCAACCTGGGTACGTGCTGATGCCCTTGCCCATCCTGTTTTCTCTGGAAAACTGCTATCTGTTCTGTGACCCACAGGTAGAGCAGCAACCTCAGACCAGCTCTGCTGGCTGGGGCCCACCTTCTTCCTGAGAAGGACCGGAAACTATTGCTGTGGCATAGGCCACTAGGATGCACTTTTTGATACACTAGGTGAGCAGGTTTTGCTAGAAGCATCAATTTTCAGGGACAGCTTATGGAAATCATTGGGGAAAAAAGGCTGCTGCAGGTTTGGACMTGCTGATAAAGACAATATGGTGTGGGTCAGCTGCCCTGTAACCACCTGCAGACCTGGCTTCTGACCCCACAGGGAGGTAAAAGTATTGGGAGAGTCAGGACAGACGCCTCTGTGGCACACAGGCTAAGGGACTTTGAGGAAAAAGGTGCCTTCATTTACCTTCTGGACTTTCTCCAAGGTCTCAAAGCAAACCAAGGTACTGACCCTTTGCAAAGGGTATCTCCCTCTAAATATACTAGAAATTACTTCTGTCTTCATATCCTTTCCAGAAACTGACTCAGAAATGATCCTCCAAGCTCTAAAAAGTCTTCATAATCTTTCTGTATCTTAATTACAGGTTAGAGAGACAGCTAAGCAGGCTAGAAAGTGAGATGGAAATGACAGCATGCTCAGCAATACTAGCAAGTAAAAGGTTACAGCCCTTTTACCCCTCTGAGCTCCCATGCCTCTTCTGCAGCAGACATTGTCCACACCACCCTCTCTCCATGCAGCAGCCACTTTTTGTGTTTAGTAGCACTCCTTCAAGAACCTGGAACACCTCTGTGAGTCAAGGCTGCCCACTCTGGCCCCTCGTTGTTCTTAATCGACAGACAACACCCACTGGTATCTGCCTGTGGGTTACAAACCCTGGCAGCAGACAAACAAAACCAAGGGAGAAAAGCGAGCAGACAGTGAGCTACCTTAGACTGGTTTGGTCCTCTGGGCTGCTGCTGCTGCTGCTGCTGCTGCTGCTGCTGCATGGGCTGCTGAGGGGTGTTTGCAGGTACCTGACACGGCGGTTGGCAGGAAGTTTTAGCGGGTGATGATTGTACACTCTAAAAAGAAACAGGTATCCGTAATAGGTTATTACCCAGACATGACATGGACAAAGGGCTCATGTTTCTTAYAGGATTTATAAGTTGGTATTTCCCACTCTTTATTCTTTATGAAATTCAATCCTCTTTCACTGAGCAGAGAAATCAGATTGGGTGCAATTCAGAGTCCTAAGAGAGGAGGTAGTACCAGTCTAAATCCCTGGGCTACCCATGACATGCCTAGAGGGCTGCCAGACCTGACACAGACGTTTGTGCCCTTATGGAGCAGCAGCAGAGCTCTGGTGAGATACTCTAGGGTATCATGGTGACACTGGATGCTGATGTTAGACAGCTGCCTGATATCTCATCTGCTATGCAGCAAACGTAGCCTGTTCAGTGCCTGTCCCTGATGGCAGACACTGCCASTTGCTCTGCAAAAAGTGCAAGAAATGTATCAGCTGAGAACGAAAATTATCTTTGATGTCATGGAAGGTGCTGGGGTTTGACTTATGCCATAAAACCTAGGCATATTTATCCCTTCCTGGAAGAAACACTCGGAACACTTCTGTTAAGTGCTGAGCTCATGCCAGCAGGGGAATAGTAAATCATCTCTGATGAAAGACTGTTAACACTGAAATACTGACACGCATTAAAATAAAGAGCAGCCAGAAAGCAAACAGTCTGCTCTCAGGGTCTGATTTCAGCTCTTGGTAGATAAGACAACCCATCTATCACTCCAACTACAATCTCTACAATAAAGAGCGAGGGGTGAAATACACTCTGCTCATTTTACTACCATGGGCATAGTTGTTCTTTAAAAAACTAGTGAACTGTGGCAGCAAATCCTTGTCGTCCAAGCCCAAGATCCTGCCTGACAAAAGGCAGAACTGTGCGTTTGGAAGAATGCTGAACAGCCTGTGATGCACAGAGCCAGTCGTGCATTGCTGTACACAGCTCATCATTGTCAAATTCCAGTCTTTTTGCTGAACATCTGCTTACACTGCTCTGTTTTACAAAGCCACAATCTACCAGCCACCGTAGTGAGCAACTCAGCCCTTTCAGTGATTACTGCACTGAATTTCCACCCCGTTAAGTCATCCTACGGTAACCGGAGTGGGAAGAGGAGAGAGGAACACAACTGCCCGCAGYAGAATGGGATCTGACCCCAGCCTACCTGCAAGGGTGGGCAACTGCTCCCTGCCTTCCCATGGGAAGAGAGGCCCTGCCTCTCAGCACTCTGCTTGGTCACGGTGAGGACGATGTGGGTCCCTGTGGAGTCAGTGATGAGGGTGGGGGGTGGGGTGGCCTTGATGAGGTTGCTCAGGGCGCTCCCTTGCTGGCCAAGGAAAAGCCGCGGGCTGTGGGACTGGCATGGTGGCTCTGCTTCCGCGGCTGGCACCTCCTGCTTCACCATCACGGCTTTCTTTGGCACTGGGCTTGGATTCGAAGTGTCCATTTGGCTAGTGGTTGGTGCAGGGCTGAATTGGTCTGTTTGGCCACTGGATTGCTTTGCAGACTGGCAACTCAGGAAACCGTTTTCACTCTTGACCTGAGWGCCAAATGCTCCTGGTTTGGAGGTGAGGGCTGTTCCTTCTCCTGTGGCTGTTGGGGCTGGCTGTGACTGCTGAGAGCGCTTCTCCTGCTCCAGCTGTAGCCTAAGCATCTCAACYAGCTGCTGCTTCTGTTTCAGCATGCGGGTGAGTTCTTCGATCTGCTTGTCCTTCTCCTGCAGCATCTGGTCTTTGTCCCTAACTTCTGCATCTCTGCTGTTACCAGTGCTACACCGCTCTGACCTGGGTGCCGCGTTTATGCTGCAGGAGGCGGACTTAGAGCTTTCTTCCTTCACCAAGAACTGCACTGGAGATGTCTGCAAGGTGAGCTGGGTCAGAGGTGAAGTCACCATCTCTCCAAAGGTATCTCCAGTGCCTGARTTCTCATCCCCTGTGCTCATTTGCGAGCGCTCAGAAGGAGTTGGAGAAACAGGAGGAGTTGAGCCTGTGCTCCCAAACTTCATCACGCCACCACCAGTAACTGTGGCCACAACTACTTCTGCTGGTGCAATTCCAGTGGTGACCAGGGCTGGCCCTGTGCTCAGCCTGGCAGTTGGGAAGGCCACCACCACTTCGGCAGCTTTAGGGAGGACAGCTGCTGTGCTGGGCTTGGGAGTGGGGGTTGTTTGGCCAGCTGCACCGTTCTGCTCTTGGTAAGCTCGGAGACGCTCAATCAGGTCCGTCTTTGTGCCCGAGACAGGCAAGGCCCTCAACTTCAGCTCTTGCTTCAGTTCTGCTACCTGAGGGGGAAAAAATGGGCAATGGTAAGAGAACGTACACTTTTAACTGAACAACAATCAACAGCTAGCAGAGCCATGAGACAAAGGACTAAAATGATCATCCTGCAGGCCGATGAACCTGCACCTCAGGTACAGACTGCAGGGTAGCAATCCCAGCTGCTTTGCCTAACTCCTGTCAGTCCACCTCAGCCCTGATCTGGGGCATCAACATCATTCAGTATTGCCCGCTGACAACGGCAAAAAGGGTCTGTGCAGCTTCACAGGACATTTACCTTCATCTCATCCAGGTTGGCAGGGAGAGGGCCAGGCTTGCCCACCGCAGCGTTACTGTTTTGTCTCATCAGCCCACTGGAACCGGAGGATATTGAAGATGTGCTGCTGACTGTGGCAGAGAGATTGCGTACAGCAGGGGCACTGGCACCACCCTGCTGCTCTCCTGGAGGCCTGCAGGAAAAGAAAGAACACAGACATCAAAACCACAGTGGAAAGACACCARAGGCCCTCAATGTTGACAAACATACACGTTCAGAAACATCTGCATCACTAGTGCTGCCCTAGACACTGAAGCACACCAATGCCCTCGACTACGTCCACGCCCCTTGCTGTGCCAGCCGACTCACTTCAACTGCTTTTGTCTGATTCATCTGGCACCGGCTCTTTCTGAGGCCCTCTGGAACCTACAAGATTGAGTGTCATGCCTGCGGCCACCCCTCACACCCAGAACACCACATCTCTGGTAACAGTGCTGGGGAAGCAAGTGCTTCCTAAGAGAGCTGCCACTGCAGACCCGTACTTTGGTGGGGCTGGCAGGATGGTCTGATAGTTGTAGTGCTGCTGCTGCTGGTTGAGGATCTGAAGCTGGAGAAAGAGCTGCTGCTGCTGCAGTATTTTGGCATAGGATGAATCCATGGGAGGAGCTCCCTTGTCCTGCTTTTGGTCCGGGGGAATATACTGATGATATTTAAGCTTCTTGACTTTCGGCTTCAACTCCTTGGCTTTTTTACTGCGCTGAGACTTCTCACTAGCAGACTTGGGCTGGCTTTGCTATTTAGAAGAAAAGGAGGAAGCAAGTAAGAATGGAAACACTGATACAATGTAACACTCCATGTAAACCAGAAGCACACTGGGATTTTAATTTTGCAACTCTCGAATTTGTTCACCTCAGGGTCTTTCCATGCTTYTCTAACTGAGGTAACATTACAGACACAGCACTGGCAGCAGCTTACACTGCACCATAATGCAGGTCATCTTTTCCAGCACACCAGATCATTTGCTCATCCAGTGCAGACTCATTGACTCCAATTATAGATACCACTGATTGYTTCAAAATATTTTGCATTCAGCACCCATTTTACAGAAGGTGAATACACCATGGAGCAGAAAACCCTATTAAATGTTTTACAATTAGCGTCAGATGAAGACACTAGTGAGAAATGTTTCCTTTCTTCACATCCAATTCTTCTAACTCCAAAACTGCTTAAAAGTAGCTATCTTATCTTCCTTCAGACTACAACAATGAAGACATCAGCCAAAACAGTACCTTAATGAGTGTTGGTGGTGGCTTGGCAGCAGTAAGAGCCACTCCATTGGTAAGACTAGGGGGCAGAAGAGGTGGAGGTGGCAGTGGCGGAGGTGGCTGCTCAGGCAGGAAAAGAGTTTCACTGGAGTCTGTGCCAATCTGCAGCTGGGAGGAACCCTGCAAGGATAGAAAAAGGCATAATGAATACACACATGAGGAGGAAAATAGTTTAACAGAGTGCTGGAAGTGTACTCCTTCCTGTCCACTTAGAAGGAAGGAGCACAGGCTTCTAATCTTTAATCAGACTCCTTTAACCCACTGCTTCAGTTGTCCCTGAGAAGGAGCACAACTTTTTAGGGCAGAAGAGGAATCAAAATCCCCCACCTGTATCTCCCAGCAATGTCTGCTGGGATCTGATGCACACAGACTGTGTCACCAAGAAATGGCTGCCTTCTTCCCCACATGGCACCATTGTGACAGTTTATGAATAACCAGAGGAGGACATCACTGACACCACACAGAGATAAGACCCCTTGTGAAATCTCACAGCCTATACCTCTTAGGGAAGCCTCAGTTCAGTTTTCAGAATCCTCTGCCACAAATCAGCATGAAGCTCCAGAGCACTGCAGGACACCTCCACATTCTTACCTGAGCTAGTGAGGTGCCAGTGGTGCTAGGGAGAGGCTCCCGGGAGTCCATCGGTGATGGGACAGACCCTTGGGACTCATGGCTGGCTGGCTGTTCTGGGGAGAGGGCATCACTGCTGTCCTCGTCAAAGGAGGAATTGTCTGCAACCTTAGGGTAGTTCACCTGTCCAACTAAAAACACAAACATCATCTGTGGTCTGTAAAGTGGGATAAAAAATTAATTCACTTGACACTAGATGTTTCACAAAGACAGTGACAGCATGGAGAGAGTTGTGCTTAAAGCACCAGCTAAACATGAGAGAACAGAGCCCAGACTGGATCAGGTTAAAGTGTTTACATTCACTACCTATCAGTAGAACAAAATGATGCAAACTGGGGTGAACATTTCCCTTGCTTTCTAGCCACAAAAGATCAGTGAGTATAAGAAGAGATACTTAGGTCTGCCCAAACTCAGCTCTGTGGCATRGCTTATTTCATTATCATCTGGCACCAAAGAAGAAGACTGCACAATGTAAGGCTTAGCCATGATTTGTTTAGTGTTCATCCTACGTGGTGGAAAGTAGACTCTCTCTTGGATTCTTCTGTCCTGGAAGACAGAATCCCAAATTGTCTTCCAGTCTTACAAGCAACAAAGGCTGTGGATTAAGTGGTGGCCCCGGCTGCTATTAGCATTTCTGTCCATCTACATACATGTCCAGTAGATAAATACACGTGAGTGTGCATTTGTAATGTACTAATGTTATCTTAAACTACAATTTCTCAAATTAATCCTGCTAAGCAGGGAAATACTGTCATTTGCACCTCTCCTAAAATCAAGAGGAATCCAGAGACGTGCTTTGCTCATTCAGAAGGAAGCCACATCTCTTATGCTTCAGTTCACAAGTTCACCCTTGCTCAACTACTACTTGTTCTGTACTGAACACGTAGTGAACACTACTTGTTCTTCTGGTGACAGAGTCACCCACAACACYGTCCTTTTCCTTTTTTATGAAAAGTATTCCATCTTGCTCACAGTTATGTCCCATTTGTCTTTAACGTAGCTGTGCGTGTTTGAGGGGATGAATAACCACTCAGTCTGGGGAGATGGGAAAGCGCTGCTGAGGCAGTGGGAAGGCTATTCCTCAGCATTCCTTTCAGCCCTTGGAATGGCATTGGCATGATTCACATCTGTTCTGGTTTATTTTTAAAGGAGTTGAATCCTCTGAACTTTTTGAGTTCACAGACATCTTTTGTTTCATCRCACCTGTTTATATTCTGTCTCCCCTCCTGATCTAAGTCAGTGGGTTCTCCCTGACCAAGGCTGTTGACATGTTATATTGAGAGAGGGATTTTAAGGAGACAATCTAGGGGATACAATCTTCAACAGTCTTTTGAGTCTAGGGTATACAATTGCTTTCACATTATTCTGGAATGTCCACATTCCCTATAATTTAATGTCTCCACAGGATTATCTGGGCCAGARGGTGCTCTGCTTTTTAGAATCCTTAGGCTGAAAGCCTGTGATTCTGGGCCAGGAAAACAAGACCAGCCATGGGATTGCACTCTCTCAGACATGCAGGTGAACTGGTTAGTAATCACAGCCACATGTGGGAAATGCTTTCCACCAAGATCCTCCTCTGACCTTACCAATAATAGCTTCCTTCAGACTTGATTCCACAGGCAAGATGTTCTTCTCCACCAGCTCCATGGGCCCTGGCCTCTGCGCTATCTTCTCATTGAGGTCATCTGCCAGTCTGGCTCTCTTCAGCTTCAGCTGCTTAGCCTGCAGGGAGGGTTCAGCTGAGGTCTCTGTTTGGGGSAAAGTAAGTAAAAAGGCATCAATACAACAATGGTCAACTCATGCCCATTCAGCAGTATTTTCATTCTATTCAGAAAGGTAACTGGAGATAATAGCAGATAACAGTACAGAAAAATAGTTGATAGGTAACAATAGATAACTATGGGCTATAAAGATATGATAGATATTATGTCTRTTTAGGTTATAAAGATAACTGCAGTAGCCCTTGTGACAAATTCACTGTTCTCAAACTGATGCCACTCAACTCTCATCCATCTTTTCCCTTTGGTTGTGCCCAGGGCTTGATGCTCAGCAGCAGCACAGCTCTCCCTCTCTGAAGCTGAGGTGCTTACTAATCAGATCAAATCTGCCTCACTCCCTCTTGGACTTTACAGTGCCTTTTAGTAAAAGAGCAATGTATGATCATTCTATTTCACTGTTGTTCAGCTACACAAAACTGCACAATTTGAATTCACACAACAGATTTTTCTGAGAATAATCTCTGAGCAAGCAGAATTTAAGCCCACCCAAGGAATCATGCAACAGGCATGATCTGCTGCTTGCTCCCAAGTGAAAGGAAGGTTTGGAGGTCAGAGGCAAAATAGAAAGCTTTTAAAAAGGTAGTTATGATAAAGTTTATTGTTGATGTTTTCCTGTTCAGCATATGCCTTACCTTCCAGAATGTGCATCCTAACCAGTTCTGATCTCTCTGGCCGGGACCGGATTTTGCGTTTCAGATAGTCCTCTGTCTGCAGCAAAAATACACAAGCAAGAACCACCTTTAGGCTCATCAGACACAGGAGTGAGATAATCTCAAACAGCACTAAGAAGAGAAACAACTATCTTTACCTTTTACTAAGATCTCAATAAGCACAGAATGTAGAAGGCACCTATCTCCTGTCCCAGAGAACCCAGGAATGAACTTACTCCAAAGATGACCATTTATTGTAATTACCTCAGTCAATTGTGCAATGCTGCCTCACACAACAGAAACTGGGAAGGACTTCCTCAGAGCTGAAGTCCTCTTTTCCTGTTGGATGCACCACTGCTAACTTGTGGCAGTGTAATATCCATGAGATTTCCTTTTACACTAAAGATAAATGCACTGGTTCCCTTGTTCACAGAAAATACTCTCATGTACTGCCAGCATTCAGGGCTGACTTGTGATTTGGGCATACTCTTTAATTTGATTAAAGATATGTTATTTGTCAAGTTAAAGACCCCATACAGTCCCTTGGGGGCAGAATCCAGATGCTGTGACAAGGCTTATTTCACTTCCAGAGMTGCTTTTAGCTGTGTCTTTGCACTACAGAGCAACGGACAGAGATGACCCTGATGGGCTCAACATGGTACTCTTTGCACTGCTTAGGGATAGCAATCTGGAAGCAGTAGGTAATAGACTGGTAAGTACTGGCTATCAGGATGGACCTTCAGAGAAAGAAAGTATTAAGTCAGTCAGAAAATTGCACCATAGTTGCTCAGCTGCCCGTATAAAAATATTAACTTAAGGTTTTAGGAAAAAAAGAGGAGAAAGAAGCAAAAGCCCTTTGGTCACTGGTCCCCCGTTGCAAAATCTCCTGTTCCAATCCTTCCAGTTTAAAGGGCCTTCCTCACACATCTTAATCACAGCTGTTATTTTTTTACTTACATTGCTTTCACTTTTAAAACAAAATTTAGTCATAACAAGTTTCATTCCACTGTAGGCTAATCAGAAAAAATATCCCCAGAGGCCKTTTGAGGAAGAGAAATTATCAAGAAATCCCCCAGTCAGAAAAGGTGGCACATGAAGTGTGATGCCTGGCTTCCTCTTTCTTTAGAGCCAAAGTCTGTGACTTTAGTGTCACAAGATTTTGGGGGGGGGAATCCTCCCTGTTCAGTTTTCAATTTCTAGTGTCCTAAATAAACAATGGCATGTGCAGGTAACAGAAAAACCTTCCTCAAAGGTGGAACTGAGCTCCACATGATAAGAGCATTTAAAGGCAAAACAGGCACCATAAAAATAAAAATGTCAAGTGCGTGGATACCAGGGAAGAAGAGTATCAGTCACTTTTAGAAAGATGACTCTAGGGAAAATCCAGGTACCATATTCAATGGGTTTTAGGCACAATTAGTCCACTGAGGGTTAACCACAATCACCACATGCAAGCTGTACAACACCGCATCCAATACACCTCTGACTACAGAACACTCTGTTACATCCAGAATATGAACAATTCCCTTCGTCATCTCAYTGACAGCTACAGGATGCACAAAACACAAGATACACTATTCCTGACTTTCCCAAAACACTAAAGATTACATTGCATCTTACCCTGGCCCGTTCCAAACTCCTTCTTTGTTCATGAAATGCAGCTGGACTTTTCAGAGCTGTGGAGAGAAAGAACATTCAGAGAATGAATTAGAATGATGGAAGTTCTCTCACTGAACAACCCTTCAGGCCATCTAAGTTAACAAACACATTGCAGCAACTGCCTCCTGCATCTTCCAACACAGTGGAGCAGATCTCCAGCTCGTAGAAAGCAATGTGAATTGCCATACTCTGTCTGACAGCACAGGGACCCAGGAACTGTGAACACCTGAAAATTTTGCCAGCCACTGGAGAGTAATGCAGGCACATTTCTAGTCAAACTAAGTTCCACTTCTAGTCACGGTTCTTAAAGTTGGGTCCACAAACATGATTCAAAACCAAYCCCCCAAAAAATGCCATTTACAAGTTTCAACAGATAGTAAGATGTCCAGGACCCTTATGGGAATGTGAAACATGGAAGAGATACATGAAATGGTTGGAAGGATGGGGGGCAAYGCTAATGAACTGTAAATCCCCTTTACTATCTTTTAATGTCAAAGGAAGCTGCAATTCTTTCCTTAATCTGCACCTGTGTTTTGCGCACATGCAAGGCTGCAAATCCTGCAGGTCCACAGGACACATACATTGCTCCATGTAAGAGACATGAGAACAGGAACACTTGGAGAGAAAGATCAATCTTTCTACTGACAGAAAACCACAATTTGAGGAATTAACTGCGGCTCTCCATAGAATAGACCTTCTCGCACCCTCAGACCCTGTTTAAAACCAGAGCCAAAATGGATCAGGTTTTAAGAAACTGATCCTCTGCTGTCCAGGACCACACTAACCCTGGAGGAATCTCTCACTCTGCCTGGCTCCTCTGGAGCACACRAAGCTCATGTCCCACAGTAAAATCAGAGAGAGAGGGTGATGACGGTGTCAGTAGCTCCTCACAGTTTCCCTGAAGCTGCAAGTAGCTTGCTTTTTTTAAAAAAAAAAATATAGTATTTTTTATTAAGAACTAGCTGAAGGGATCATAACAATTTCTTTTCATATTTCTGAAATACTCATATTTTAAACTGTCTGAATTACTATCAAGCTAAACAGMAAAGTCAAAGAACTTCAGTTTAAAGATAGATTGCAAGTCTTTTGAAGACAGAAAACAAAGCTCAAAGAGTTAGTAACTCCAAAGTATTGCATCTAGGTCTTGTGAAAAATAATCTGCTCATATGAKTTTTAGCTTAAAATCAGTGATTAAGTATTTCTCAATTGTTGAGTTCATAACGAAGTGTCAAAAACTATTAAAAAATAAAAGGCCTTGCATAAAGGTAATGTAATAAACTACTTCTAATGCATGTGGAGCCTTCCAAGCTCTTTCCTACAGAATGAAATTAAGTAGCCACAGAAGGTGTTAAGACACATTCTGCAAAATACAGAGATTCCTTCTAGGTTCACATGAATGGGATAAGAGGTAGAATTCAGTCCACATGGCAGGAATTCTGAACACACTGGGCATCATACATGGGATCTGGACTACAGAATTGAATGAAGAATAATTTGCAGAATAAATTAATAATAACTGAAAACCATGGTGAGTGAGTTTATAGACTGCTACAGAAATGGGGCAAATAGCTCCTGCTCAGATTGGTTTTGTAAACTTGGTTATGGAGAGAAATCACCAGAGAAAGTTACACAAGCTGTGAAATGTACTTTGAGATAAAYCAAAAATCTATGATAGGGATACTGTTTTGCCGTAACTACAATAATGCAAATAACTTCCCCAGCTAGTTGAGGCACCAGCGAAGCCTCAGTTGATGCCTGCTATGTGGCAACCTGGGCAGTCTGACCACCACACTTCCATGAAGAGCAAAGAGCAAAAAGCAAAAAATATTMTTTTCAAGTCATATGAGCTGTATGTAAATACACACGTGCTTGAACCTGAACATGCTTTCCATTCATTTTGTGCAGATCACAGAAAAGCCAAATAAAAGCTCAGGCCTACTTGGGCAAAGATAGCAAGCAACATTTAAATCTGCATAAATATCTACCCTGGACACAAGTGAAGCAGGACTCATCTTGAGTCTTCAAAGGCTCTCTACCAGAATGTGCAGACACAGCAGTAATTTTTTAAGCTCCCCTTCCTGCCTACCTCTGCTATCAATATGAGGCAGCAGATGAACTTTCGGTGACATTTCCCTGACCACAGCTAATGGTCAGAAAAGTCAACTGCAAGACTACAGCTGGTGTCAGAGGTAGTCCAGGAAAAACCTTGCATACAGAAGAACAAGGCAGGAAAAGAATCCCTGAGTTAGAAAAAAAGAAAAACAAATATGCCTTTAATAGTAATGCAGGCTGCTAAAGGGATAATCTTGTAAAGAACACATTCAGTCTCTCATGACTAGTCCTCTGGAAAAGTGAACTGGGATGTAGCTCTCTGGGCTGGCAAYATGACAGAAGACTTCATATTCGACCTCTGAAAATGTCAAGAGGGCACAAATCCTTCCCTGCTTCCCTCAGCAATGTGGGATAGGGTTGACAGGTCAGAATAGGGTGTCTATGGTAAAATCATACTCCATTTGAAGCTAACTACGCCTTGCACATTTTTTGGCTTTGAAATGACCACTTAGTCCAGAACTGTGGGGCAACTCTGTTAACTTTTCTACAGCAAATAAAAAAAAAAAAAAGAAAAATATAATCCTGTGAAGAAATCTGAAGTAATAAGGCTCTGGGTAAGCTCTAAAGGAGGCCCATAGTACAGATATGGCTCTTTTTCCAGCTGCCCTTCCCAGCCCCTTAGCATTGATCCCTGCAAAACTACCCCTGTGCCTCATAACCCATCTCACCACCGTGTCGCTTTATCCATTCCACTCCAAACTACCCATATATTGATAAAGCTCTACTGTTCTCACCCGTATCAGCTATGGTGGCTCATTCTGGCAGTGTATGTGAATGAGTAGCTGAGCTGGTAGAGCAGAACCTGTGTGAACCAGGTGGGCATGGGGCTTCATTCCCACTCTGTCCACAGCCCTCAGTAYCTGAAGCATCAGATACAACTACAGGGAATTAGGGGTGAGGAAACTCCAATCACCTGATGTTTTCTGACTGCTCAGCCAGCATAAAACACACAAAACTACTCCTCACAGTAGTTTGTTTAACCTATTCTTGGAAACCTCTCATGAAAAAATACAATATTATTGCAGAGAAATTATCCCAGTGCATAGATGTTTTTACTATTTAAAAACCTTTCTGAATGTCTAACTTACATTTCCCTTCCTACAATTTATACTTTGYTCCCCACCTTAGCTGCTAAGGTTACAGAGAACAATTTATTTTCTTGCTCTTTGCATGTATCCTTTTTGAAAACATTGGTTCTCCTACAATCTCCTGTTGTATAAAATGACCAAAGCCAGTTGCTTCAACCTTCCCTTGCAGATAACATTATCYAGACCTTGGCTTGTTTAGTCTCTTTTGGACTCCTTCCATTTGATCCACGTTTTTGTTGAAGCCTAGTGTCCAGAAGTGGGTACATATTCCAGCCTAGGCTTTATCAGCTTTTACAGAGTTAAACAATTATTCAATAACACTTCTCAGTCACATGTCCCAGCCAGTTTGCCTTGTTTGTGTACATAAAACACACAACCTTCACTTGTACCTGTCTCACAAACCACAAAAGGTCTCCAATCCACTTCTGCAGAGCTGGTACCAAGMCAGCCACTTTTCATTCCCAGTTCATRCCACTAACTAGGCATTCCAAAATGTAGACATTCTGCATTTTTCTTTCATTTTACTCCACAGTTGTGGCTTCTCCTAACATTGTGAGTCCCAGTCCTATCCTCCCCAGAGCCTACTAACCCGGAGCCTTATAAACATGCAGACTGTTCTTTCATTTACATCAAATCACTGAAAATACTGAATCRTGTCAAACACTGATTTGACCCTTCCCACCCAGCAACCCTGCTCGACACAACTTCCCAGTCTGACACCAAGCCTCTATTCCAATACTGTTCCATCACAAGTTACATAGGCAGCTTCAAGCAGTACCAGCCAGCTTCCAGAAACATCAGGCTAGACTATTTCAAAGCACCTTACTAAGCCCAAGAAGTGCAAAAACATGTTTAACAGCCTGAATTCCCTGGAAGGCATTTCAAYAAATATTTAGTATGCTGGTAGGTCCAGCTTAAGTAATGATCTCTTTTTCCCCMTTTTCCCAGGCCCCACTTGTCTCTGCCTTTCCATTTATGCTCCAATTGTATTGCACAGGGAGCTCCACTATAAAACTGTTGCCATAAAGTATCTCCAGCACCTCCCTACAGCACTTGCCCCTCTCCAAACTTGAATCTGTGATCTAACTATYCAGCTAATTTTGAGCGAGCCCTGATGAGAACAGAGTGCTGCCAGAGGGGGAAAAAAACCACCAAACATGCCAAACTATGACAGTAGTATGAGCTGTTGAGTTTTTGCTTTCCACTGTATGCAGGAAAGAAATAGTTGAGAATGCAGAAGTAACTTCTGCAATGCCTGATTGCAGTTAGGTTACCTCCTGCCTGCCTTTTGATTTTATTTCTACATGATATCTACATGGTATTTTCAGCCTCAGTAACCTGCAGTTACACTTTCTGCCCTTGTTCCTGTATCTAGGTCTGGGACAAAGCACATTAGCCTTCAGTTATGCTGACAAAACAGTCTGAACTCAGATCACAGTTGTTTTGAAAGAGTTATTTCAACCTGGGTTGGTATGCTGGTTTACAGCAGGCTTCACAAATAATAGTGTCAGCAAAGCCAAGCACAACTGCCCTGCCAGACAAAGACAGAAATGAGAGACTGAGTTTAACGCCAGCGCTGCAGCAGAAGCCCCCACACTGCTGAACCACAGCCCCCCATGTCTTCAAATTGCCCCATCCACCACAGGAAAACAGCCTGGTGTTACAAATGGCCCAACAAGCACTAAAAAAGGCTCAGTGACAGGAGGGACAATAGCATCACCATTGGTACTTAGGACCACTGAGCTGTACCTACTTTTGTCCTACTTGGACGATTGTCTGGCAGTTTGTAACATCTGCTATTAGGAGGATGAGTTTTA